TTTGACCGACTGTGGAAACAAATTGGAACGAGTTTTAGCTGTTAAGCTTGCGGTGCATGTACTGATTATAGAGTGTATAGTCGACAGCAGATCAACATACCACTAAACTAATTTCTTCAATGGATTTTGGGCTTTATTTCCTTGCGGCCTTGGCATAAAGTGTAAAATCATTGTGGATTTTTGGTGAGTTGATGTGCTGGTGCTGTACATTATTGTTCTTATTGCACTCGTGTATGTGTGTCGGTGGTATTGGGTTTTGGGTTAAATCAATAAGTGGCTGAGGCTCTTCAGAGGCTTTTTAATTTTAATATTTTTGATATACGGTTGAAAATGGATTGTAGTACATACTTGACTGTTGTATTGTATAGTCTGGTCTCCGAGCACGTAGAATTTTGTCCAATGACCCCAAGCTACCCATCCTTATCACGCGTAATTACGCGCGAGCGATAAGGATGGGTAGCTTGGGGTCATTGGACAAAATTCTACGTGCTCGGAGACCGGGCTTTAGTGTTTATTTTTCTGATCGTTTTTATGTTAATTTCGCGTTGTTTTGATAAGAAAGTCCGTCAGTTATTGACAATCAAATACCATTTTTAAATTCTCCGACACATTATTAACACGTAGTCCCTTCAGATGGTTGATCTTTAGAACAAATATAAGGCAACGGAGGATCATATCATTTGTCGTTATTATTATACTAAAAAGCACATTATTTACTAGTTAGATTAATGTTTTGTCTTAATGCTATAATATCGAAAACACCCAAAGATGCTTTATTAAATTTAGTATTAGAAAGTAAGATATAGGTCTTAGTACGCCACAGAGATGCAATCGGCGACTAATTTTCATTACGCTGTCAGTGGCATCTGTGTGACGTCATATACGGACGACAAAACATCAAGCTAAAATCTAAATACTGCTGGAATCTTATGCCCTTGTGATAAGTGCTATATTGCAACAAAAATTTACACTTGATGTGCTGTCAACGTGAGACCACCACGATGTCCGTCTTAATAATATTTTTTAATTAAGCGATGTTACATTATCAAGTACATTATTATAATAATAATTATATGACTTAAAGACCAAAGCTAGCGCATTATAATATTAAGTGACAAAATACAAACACTGGTCACACTGTACATAATTTTATATTTTTGAATTCGATGGCTATGCGTTACTTGTTTATAATTATATGAAGCAATATTTTTGTGTTCTTAAAATATATTATTTGGTTATGTACGTGTTATATACTTTGTTGAATAGGTGCGAGGTTTAGGTGCCTGGTTAAAATATATAAAATACAAATAGATAATGATATTTATCCAGCCATACTACTACATTTGTGCCTTTGCATAAAATCAGAACTACTGTATAGCTGGATTCACTGCAGATCTTACCTTTAGTAAAATATTATATTAAATTGTATTTCAATATAATCCAGTACTAAATAGAAAATATTTTAAATGTTTGTTATTTGTTAATATGATAGATACCACAGTGTTGGATAAATTGTAATCGTGCTATTTTGTTTCTGGTAACATATTTAATTTCAAAGTTTTCTATCACATATAATATGAGTTATAGTTCCAAAATACTAAACTGTCCTATGCATGACATTGACAGTGGGGCGCCACCGTCAATACCGGATCGCTGGTTCCGATTTTTGCCATGTTGGAAACCGTATAGTTGAACGATGGTAGCGCCCCCCTGTCATTGAGTTTGGCGGGACAGTTCAGCGTGGGTCATCTATATTTCATATTAAGAATTGGTACCATTATAACTATCTACTTGAGTATGTGCAAATTAAAAGACAATGGTGTGATAATAACACAACGAAAATCATGTGCTCTTATTTGTGTAAAAAAAATAAATCGCAATCGCAACACTGTGGCGTTCTATCTACCACCAACGTGTACTTACTATGTGTGCTACAGTGAGTGTTTGTTTACAATGAGGATTTGTATTTGTTTGGTGCAAGTGTACTGAATAGGTATTATAGGATAGTTTGGTGCCTTCATCCGTTGATTGGCGATGGAGTTTAGAAAATCTTAGGATTTGAAGTTTAGATTCCATCGTCAAATAAATATGTATCTTTAGCTAAAACGTCTTTAGATGCTACCAGTAATACTGAAAAGTATTTTTGGTATAATCTATTGAAAAGTTATCATACTGATAGATTTTTAAGCATGAGCCTAAAGTTGTTGTACACTAGGTTAAAGTATAGAAACAACATTGTTTTCAATATGGCACAAACATTTTAAAATGTCCTATCGTCTTCGCATTTATAGCTTAGTTCATATAATTTATAAATGTCTGAATTATAATTTATTTTTACATTATAATTGAAATTATTTATCCTGGTTGAATTCTGTTTAAGTATTATGTTTTAGATATTGTTTAAGCAAATTGATTTTAAACTTGTTAGCAATTTCCTGACAAAACAAAATGGAACCATCCTGCCACGAAATATAGTGGATTTTTTTGGAACTAAAACATAAAACTGCTGTTCCCTATAGTACAGTACCTCTAGCATGAACAACTTTCGACTTCGAATCGTTTGCGTATTTGACAAAATTCGATATTCAACCTTCGAATCAAACGATAACGTGACAATTTTGATTCTCAAAATAAGTTTCAACCATTTCTCATACAAAGTTCACTTTACGACACGTTCACAAGGGCGCTGTTGTAGTTTTCGTACTTAATCTTTTGACGGCGATTCGAGCACGCAAACGATTCGAACTCGAAAGTTTTTCGTGCTAGCTGTACAGGTGCGGCTAAAGATATTGTTAATGTAATTATTTTCTAAGGGTACCAATTGAGTTGTCTCTGATTAGTTATGATGAGTTTTAAATATGTAAAATGTGTTATACTTTATTCATTGTAATTCCTAAAGTTTTATTGAATATAATTTCGTATCTAAATAATGTTGAATCACATTTATTTAATTAATGAAAGTTAATGTTTTGAAGATGATTATTACTATATTAGTTTATGATTATGATTGTGTAAAATCTTATTTATTTAGATTGGAACTTGAGATTTGTAGTTGTCATTTTGTTTAAATAATTTTAAAAAGTTTGCTGTGATTGGATGTCATTTTATTATTTTGACAAATGGCAACACTAAAATTAAGGATTTTGACTTTTCAACTCGTATCAGAGTTCAGTCTATCATGAATCTGCGAGATTACTTCAAACGTCGTTTTCGTATTTTTGGATTATCCGTTGCTATCGCTAGACGGATCGATCCAAAAAAGCGGGGACAGCGCCTTGAGAAGTCCCACAAATGTGCGAAACTACTTGATCGCAAAAATTGTAAAGTTTATTGGCGGAAAGTCGGAGCCTGAAATTGTTATCAATCTAATAATTTGATTTCAATTATTCCACATAACTTATACTGAAATAGGTAACTTAAAAGTTTTCTACTGTCTTACGGTTTCTTGCTTTTTGACCAAAGCAATGGCAGGGTTTTTCAGGTTGTAAAATAAATATTATGTAAAATGTTGTATGTACCTAGTCTTTCTCTTTAAAGTTATGTGGGATACAATATTAATATTATACATTTATGTGTTGTGTACAGTGGTGTGTATGTTGATACTTGAGCATTGTTTTGCGAAAATATCCTCTTTTGTATGCGAACAAAATGAAAGAATAAAATATAAATATTACAAATTGGCTGGTTATTATTTAAATTATATTACTAAAAATATGTATAGTGCAAAAAGAGTAAAGTTTTTTCCTTTGGCTTTCTTTACTCTGCAAAGATATTATAATTTTCATAAAAAGAAGAATATTAGTAACGCATGAGAACATTATTGGGATAAGAAGAAGATTATAATGGGTGCCGGAATATGTGATAAAATCCACCACATTAGCAACAAAATATAGACTGGCAACATTTACATCCGCTATCACTGGAAGTGTCAAATTCGCCAATCTGTCATTTGTCAAAATCCAACCAGACCCAGTGCTCGGCGTTCGTTAGCGTTATCGGTTATCGAATTAAAATAGCATTAGAAANTGCGTGCGTTATGGACATAGATTAGTTAGTGCAGAATCGTTAAAACTATAGCTATCTCTTTCATTTGCGTGCTATTTCGTATCTTTTGTTTCACTTGTCAGTTACATTTGTCAATGTGTGCGATTTGGAATAGCTCGGCACGGATTCAAATCGTAATTTCTATGAACGTAACATATCTATAGTTCTTTAATATCATTGGCACACCACAAATAATTAAAAGTTGGCGGTTAAATTATAAAATAATGTTTTAAAAAGGCAGTTAATATATTCAATAATAAGACAAAATGATTATGTATAGGGACAACAAAATAGATTTGCATTTTTTTTAAAGATTATGATAGCTCTTACCTTAGTAAGAAACGAATATTTCGATTGTTTTTTTCGCATAGGTCGCGGTTTGTCAAACAAATGGTTGATGCGCCGCGATGTTTGAAAAAATAAAAAACGTGTGTAGCCAGTTGAGTAATAAATGATATTTCTGTACAATTTCTACTAAAAAATATAAGGTTTGGCTACAAAAAACCTTAATTTTCTTTAAAAACTGGAGCATGCCAATAAATTGGTAGAGTGCCAATGATTGGGTGGTTTACCCTATAGTGTAAAAAGTGTGAAGTTTTTTCCTTTGGCTTTCTTTACTTTGCAAAGCTATTATAATTTTCATAAAAATAATATTATGAACACATTACAACTTGAACGCCTCGATAGAAGCAATAGAAGAAAAAATCCATTAAGTATGTCAGATAAGATTATAATGGGTGCCGGAATATGTAATAAAATCTACCACATTAGCAACAAAATATAAAACTGGCAACATTTACATCCGCTATCACTGGAAGTGTCAAATTCGCCAATCTGTCATTTGTCAAAATCCAGCCAGACCCAGTGCTCGGCGTTCGTTAGCGTTATCGGCCATCGAATTAAAATAGCATTAGAGATTAATGAATAATCAGTATAACTCGTGATTATAGAAAGAGGCACAAGCGGTGAAAATGCTGAAGGTTTTAGTGGATACGTTTTGGAGTGAGCATGTGTGGTTACCGCCGAACGTAACGTGGGAAGACATCAAGCCTGGGCCAGATAAGGCAGTGAATTACAACGACCACACTCACGTTTGGTATCCTATACCGTTAGCTTTGGTTTTCATAGCTCTACGGGTTGCCGTTGAGAGGTGAGTCCCTTTTTTATGTAAGGAGTAATGACACAAAAGCTGATTAGCGATATAACCTATTCAATGAATGGCTACTTCGCGGTCTGTTGAGCGTATACGCCTTCGCACTGGTAATAAAAATGGAAATGTGTAATAATCAATCTTGTTTTGCATTGAGCAGAACTATTCTGGTTCGTTTTACATAAAAATGTTTCAGCAGTGAAGTTTAGAAAGGTTTATCTAGGGTAAATCTGACCCAGGGTCACTTAAGCTATTGGATGTGTCACCTACGTAAGATTATTAGTGATATAGTGATGCATGTGTCATTTCTAAGTGACTGCACCTGCCATCTTTTTCACAGATATGTGGGAAAAATATCTACCTACATCTGAATGAGGATAATGTTATCTGCCTACTCATTTTGTAGTCATTTGTTGATAAAGTATACTTTTATTTTATTTATTTATTTTAAATGATTTGCCTGCATGTATCACAAAAGTGGTTGTGGTTTTATTCAGAAAAAAGTAGGTAACTAATAAACACATTTGAATTCTCACAATTTCCTTGGATAGATAATTAAAAAAAATACCTCAATTTTTAAAATTAACAGATTGGTACATCATTAAAAAACTTTCACTAATGTAGGTATACAAAAATTATATTTACTGTGTACCTACTATGTATTGCCTGTTAACATATTATTTTATCCTCAACATATTTTAATAATAATATTTTTTTGCTACTAGAAGAGGCATTAGAATTTATCCTACTTACTAAGGCTTTTAAATTATTTATTAATGTTATCTGTGAGATAAACTTATCTACAATATCTTAAATATGTAATAAAAGTACTAAATCAGTCTTAGTAATCTATTGTTATGTAAAAAAAACTTGTGTATTTTAAAATGTGCAAATATTATAGGTTTTTTTAATATCAATTAATACGTTGGACATCATTCGAGTCATCTAGTGTCTCGATGTTAAATGACGTAAATTGTAACAGAACAGCATAGGTTATTTTGAATGTGAATGTAATACTTGTCTGTTCTCAATTTGTCCTTTATTTACTTAAAGATAACTAAAAAGATATTCACGAGGCCATGACAACTCGTGTGTTGTAGTAACGTCAACAGAATTTGCACAAATTATACAAAAGTTGTGCTGGCCTGTGACCTTAAAGTTACACTCTCATTCATAAAAAATAATAGCTATGCTCTGTAGGTATTATATATATATCCTAGTTGTTTACAAAAATAGGGAATAAGTGTAAAAGTAAATGAACAAAAACCATCGAACAAAACACAAGTGACCTTGTTTTTATCTATTGTGGTTTCTAAACCTGAAGGTTGACTAGACAATGCCCCAGTGCAGTAAGTCACTGTGCGTTGTCTTAGACATTAATATAATAAGTAAATTGGTCTGGTGGCCTCATTGCTATTAGGGTCAACAAATAAATCGTTCGGTGCCACGGTTGACTTATAACGTCTTTAATCATAAAAAGGTTTATGGACTTGATTGGCAGATCTGATTGTGTCAATTGATTAATAGACGGTTGTCTGCGAATATAAAAGCAAAAGCAACTGTTTGTCTGTATTTTTTTCTAATTTATTAGTTCATGAGATGAAAAATCCTATTATTGCCCAATGCTCTTTGGAGCAAGATCAAACGCGTAGCTCAAGACCGAACGCGATGGAGGACTGTTGTGGACGCCCTCTGCCCCATCTAGGGGACATAGGACCATAAGTCAAGTAAGTCAAGCCCAATGCGTTTAGTAAGAAATATAAATTGTTATTGTTTCATTCACATGAGATAACAGATCATAATTAACGCGGGGGCGAAGCCGTAGGCAGATGCTAGTCATTATTATTTGTTATATGAAGAAGGTCACTCATGCATTCATTGAGTAAAACAACAAAAACTACTTAATCTTTGAAGATAAAATGCAAGTAGTTACCAGCCAAGTAGGATGGCTTTTACGTTCGAATAAGTCTTCATTAGGTCTTAAGTTCTATATTTTTGTCCATAATCTATGTGTGTTGTCCATAAAAAAGACATAGTTTTAGTTAGAATCTCTACTAAAACGAAGTCCGTGCAGGCGAAGCCGCGGCCTATCGCTAGTTCAAAATAATACGTAGGGTCGCGACGTTCAGAAGGTCAATAGCGGAGCGGACGACATTTTTCATACATTTCGCATGTTTTTTAAGGCCGAAAATGTATGAAATTGTTTCATTTTGGACTATACATTTTCAGTTAACACACAGCTTTGTTCTGCAGACACCTTAATGGGGGCGCTTGCTAAAAGTGTCCATCTAGACTAGAAAAAGAATGTGCCTAAATGCATGGCCTTAGTCCTAGATGTTAGCCATTAACAAACTCGCTTAATAGCACTGGGATCGCGGGGAGGAGTCCCCCACGCACAAGGAATTCCGAGTGATTTTTATTCAGTAGCTATCTCGATTTAAAATGGTTGACAGCAGTTGACAGCCTTTTGAGATTAGAACCCACAGTCCCTGCGTCAATCAGTATTCGTTAGTCCCACGGCTACCCAACCGCGCCACCGTGCACCCTCCCTTAACCCCTGACGCGTCGGTCCCAGAAGTCGCCAGAAAAAGTTTTCTACAAAAAAACATTATACTCAACTCCCAGTACTCACGTTTCCCCTAAATAAAGTGCTAGAATATTCAGTTTTAGTCAAATACTCAATGGGACTTCTTCTAATTTTTGAAGTCAGTTAAATAGTTCGTCTGTTGCGAAGAGAATACAGCTGTTAACCGGTTAATTAACCTAAATAAGTTCAGTTGATAGAAGCTTTCTAATTAAGAAATTGGAGCGGGAATTGGACATGGAATTTGTTGATTAAATGTGTAAATTACATAATAATTACTCATTTGTTATGTTCGTGTTCGCACCTTGTCCATTAATTTCATGATAGATTCGCAATTAGCATTTGTAGTTGTTATTGTAGATGTTTACTAATAAAGTCGTAAAAAAATTAGTCGTCATCCCCGTTAACCCCGTCCAGTTAGCTCTTGTTACAAGTAGGTTCACCACAATCGACGGGAATCTAACACTTACCTTTCCTCGAATCTTGTATCGACATACAGTCCGATGCATGCTGAAGCTGAAACCATAGGGCCATTGGCGCCTTTAACCATAACTAACTTTCTTAAAACGTTTACATTATAGGACAATATTAGAAAAAAAATACGTAGAAATAAACTAAATGGCAGTCTAACAGCGATTGGAATCTTAAAATTGGCCATAAACGGTCAAATTATTTGCTTTTCTAAACACCTTTTCTAGGTATGAGAAAATAATTTCCTATGTAAATAGTATGCAATCAAGTTATTTCAAGATTTTTCTTTAATGTTCTGCTCGCGTGATGTGCGCGACAAAGAAAGTTAAAGTGATGTGAATTTTAAATGGCCAACAGTTTCATGCTGATTTTGGTAAAATATTGCATTAACTATACGGTTGACGTGTTAACTATTTCTTTTTAACAAATGAAAAGGAACAATCTCTGGACAATCAAACTGCTCCCTTTGAGCTTCTCATATGAAACATTCTGAATTTAAATATTATGATTAGAAGATGAGCGCGCTCAATCTAAAAATCTCAATTATAAACTGCGCCAAAAAAAGAAAGAAAAGGTAATCTATTATTTACGTACAAATACTCACAGGCCTCCAAAAGTATGAACAGTGATGCTGAATGCTGACCAGCCTGACTACTTTCTAACACAGTTTCCGTATTTGCGGATCTATCGCCCGTATTCACAAACATAACTATGAGGTCTCACAGTGCGCGTGGACGCACAGGGTGGCACACGAACCAATCACAGAGCTCTATTCAACGCTGTGCGTTAAAAAAACACTAGCCCTCCTTCTGGCGCAGTCGTTTAAATACAAGTTATTAATAGTCCCGTTAAACCCCCGTGATAAGCTAAATATGCTTGTGTTACGAGTGGGTTCGCCACAATAGTCCAGAGCGGCGAGATTTTTTCTTTATCCACAAAGAGGAAGCTCTTGGCCTGTATCTCACCTGATGGTAAGTGTCGATCAGGCCGAAGGTGGAAGCGAGCTTCACCTGGCATCCTCAACCACGGAGGAACTGGCTATCTTACCTATGACTGCTGGAACACAACAATGCTGTTAACATTGTTCTTCTTCTTTTCGTGTCGACAACAAACCTACACAGTGTCAGCCCAAAACTCCGCCACAAGAGTTGTTGTTATGGCGACAGACTTAGGTAAGATGGAGGTAGCTAGCCAGGCGGACTTAGAACAAGCCCTACCACCAACCAAACCGAACAGAAAAATCTACCCCCACTGGGAATCGAACCCGGGACCTCTGCGTCTGAAGCAGGTAGTCTAACCACTAGACCACAGAGGCGGTTAATAAATGGGTGGGGTTTGATTGAAGTTCGAACCCGCGTTCCTCGGATCTCGATTCGGGTGATACGACACCAAAATCATTTAGTGTCGCTTACCAAGCGATCGCAGAATGCTTCTCAAACATTTTGCAATGAAGTAACCAGGTTTTGACTTGTGGGAAGTCCATGTGAATTCATTTCGCCTGCACCGAGGACGCGCCACAAAAAAAAATGAAAATATGACCTCCCTGATGTAATCAATAAACTCTCGATTATTATCACAGGATATCTATTGCAATGAGATACGATAAGCGTCAAAAAATATTACATTATCTATCATAATCATTTTGGTATATTTGATTTTTCTTTCGGCCTAGTTAATTATTTTTTAAACTTGCATCTTTTGTAGACATGATGACGTACGGGAGTATCAAAGTGGTAAATATTTTTAGTATTAATGAATTATTTGTTTACAATAATGCCTGGAATGTAAAATTAAGATAATAAAAACCTGACCTGCACAACCTGCACTATCAGAGTCATGCGTTCGTTTTCTTTGTTTTCTCATGAAAAAAATAAATAAGTTAATGTCATCAATGCACAAACAAACATAATATTGTCAATGTAGGTTTTTGACCCAGACTGAGAGGTGTGAATGTAAATACTTTCTTTTTTCTATTGATACTAGAGCAAATATCTGATCGCTTAATTTTGTGAAGCTGTCATATTGTCTAAGAGGGCTGCATCCCTCGGATTTTGGGTGAGGTTTATTTATTGTGTCTAAAACACTATTACATAGGTATCAAACACCACTTAGCAAAGCATATCAAAGTATACATGCGGAGTCACTTCACACCCTCCCTTAGCTCCGCGTGTACACATTAGCCCATTAGTAAAACGCGTATCATCAGTTTATAGCCTTAACCCCTATGCTATTAGTGTTCTGAGTCGCAACAGCACATTTAACTTGTCAATGACGTAATTAACGTTTCAGTAAACCTATTGTTAGTTATTCGCGAGTCCATTGTTGAGCGACTCCGGTAAAAACTGTGTGGTAAGGCTGTCGCGTCCGATGGAGCGATACGAAGCACGCTAAACTGGCTTCTGAAATATTACATAATATCTTCAAATATTATTTCAAAATCAATAGTTTATTCAGTACATAGGCCCTTTCCGTGGCACTTATACACGTCCCAAATATAGCTTGCCCTACCACCACTTCGGGACAACATAATATTTTATGGGCTGGTGCTTAGAAGTAGTGGCGGAAGAAACTCAGTCACATTTGTCAGGCTCTTTTTCAATCAAATACTACAGCAATTTATAACTTACATGACACGTAATAAGTGCGCGCTAGGCAAGTATAAAATTAGGGATAACCCTTAGCAAAGAAATTTGAACTCAGTAATCATGTATGATCGCTGCAAGTATTGAAAATGAAATTAAACACACACTGGAATTTATGGATTCAGTGCGACTTCTCAGAATACGGACTTAAATCTATACCTACGTTTTGAACTTCTATACGTCTTACATTATCTTTGACTTGTTTTTCGACCTCAAGACAATAATACTATTAAAATGTATTTACGGTTCAAAATACGGTATTTATTTACTTGACACACGCGAAACAAAAAGTTAACTGCAAAAACAAATTATCTCGGCTATGAATGAATGCGTAATGCCCGGTTTCCTCCACCGAAGCGGAGAGGAGAGGAGATGATGTGTGTTTGAATAACCAATCAGATTTCGTTCATCATCATTTCAGCCTAGGACGTCCACTGCTGAACATAGGCCTCCCCCAATGATTCCCACAATGGCCAGTTGGTGGCGGCCTGCATCCAGCGCCTTCCTGCTACCTTTATGAGGTCGTCGATCCACCTTGTGTTTCGTTATTTCCACATAACTCCTCAGCTCATCTTCGGTTCGGAAACCTGATTGGGTTTTTAAACACATCTCTGCTCTCCGCTTTGGTAGAACCGGGCCTCAAACGCCATCTTTTTACACCAGTGCGTAGTCGGGGCTTATGACGTATGCCTTGCTTGTCTATGAATTTTTAAAACGGGTCAACCTACCTGTACTAGCCAGTTTCAAAAATCCTTATTTTAATGGCGGATGTACACTATACGGGAAATTGGTCAAGACTTAATAGTGTGAACATCATCTCGGTTACTTTCTCCTCTCTTCTCGTGTGCGTGACCTATACGTGTGCGGGCTAGCGCTTCGACTTGGACAATTTGCCGCATAGTGTACATCCGCCATACCATTTGCTAGTGCTAAATATACAAAACTCACGCCATAATCTTAGACACCCTGTATGGTTGGTTCCAGGGCAGTGTTGGCACCCTTCGGCCGGTCGCTGGGCATCAAGGATGTCAGGTCGAGGAAAGCTTCGAACAACCCGAAGCTGGAGGCTGCCTACCGGAAATCAGCCCAGCCAAGCCAGGTGAGAACACGACTTAAGGACGTAGCACACTTATCAACCCGGNAAGACGCGTCGTCGGTCCACCTTGTGTTTCGTTATTTTCACTTAACTCCTCCGCTAAGCTTCGGTTCGGAAATCTGGGTTTTCTAACACATCTCCTCTCTTCTCCGCTTTGGTAGAACCGGGCCTCAAACGCCATCTTTTTACACCATTGCGAAGTCGGGGCTTATGACGTATGCCTTGCTTGTCTATGAATTTTTAAAACGCGTCAACCTACCGGTACTAGCCAGTTTCAAAAATTCTTCTTTTAATGGCGGATGTACACTACGGGAAATTGGTCACGACGTAATAGTGTGAACACCATCTCGGTTACTTTCTCCTCTTTTCTCGTGTGCGTCACCCGTTTCGGTGTGCGGGCTAGCGCTTCGGCTTGGACAATTTGCCGCATAGTGTACATCCGCCATAATGACCATCTGCTAGTGCTAAATATACAAAACTCACGCCATAATCTTTGACACCCTGTATTATGTGCGGGCTAGCGCTTCGACTTGGACAAGTCGCCGCATAGTGTACATCCGCCATAATGACCATCTGCTAGTGCTAATATACAAAACTTCCACCATAATCTTAGTCACCCTGTATGGTTGGTTCCAGGGCAGTGTTGGCACCCTTCGGCCGGTCGCTGGGCATCAAGGATGTCAGGTCGAGGAAAGCTTCGAACAACCCGAAACTGGAGGCTGCCTACCGGAAATCAGCCCAGCCAAGCCAGGTGAGAACAAAACACAACTTAAGGACTTAGCACACTTATCAACCCGAAAGAGGATCGTAACCGTATCAACTCGAGGCGATCAGTATTCTTTGTATGAAGCTCCATACTGCAACACACACTTTTATCCGCACCGTAAGAAACGCCTCGCCTCGCAATGAAGGTTTTCGCGTATGAAAGATCCGCTAGATGGCGGGACGTGGATGTGGGGTCTGACTGCTGCGTGATTGGTGGATTTTGACATATCTGTCAATGTCACGTCAAAAATAACCAATCATGCAGCATTTGGACCTCGCGTCTACGTATTGCCATCTGGCGGATTTTTCATATGCGAAAACCCTCATTGATAGCGCGGGAAAGGCGATATGGTGTTGATCCCTTTCCGAGTTGATAAGTCTAATACGACCTTTAATTCTACTAAAAAAGGTAAAAGAGAAGGAGAAGGAATAAAATTCAAATTATTTATTATCACATGGGTAAGGGTTGGTAGAACATAATATTGTACATGTGACGCCTAGTGAAGGCGATGCAAAAACTATTTAGAGAAGAATGAAAGATTCCAAACCGCCATGTTTGACCCATAAGCCAATAAAAACATGCGCTTTTCTACGAGAGCTCACAAAGTGTCGCATTTGACACTGGCCAAATAAGCAAACCCCACTAAGCCACAAAGAAAAAAAAGTATTATTGTTTCTTCTTATTTAAAAAAAAATGAAGAAACCTTAAGGCTAGGGTCGTAAGGCATGCAGCCTAGTTTTTCGCGCTTTTTATTGTCACAACATTACCTACTCTGTTTACGCTATGCGCCAATGCATTTTTTAAAGAATCCTCACAGTCTTCCATTTAGATTGCCATATTTTTGGACACGTTAATTTACTGCACACATTAAAACTATTCAGCTAGTCTACTAAGTACTTTACGTAACATAATATTAATGTAGCATTATCAACATCAACTAATATTGTTTTGGAAAATAACCTTAGATCGATAGCTATTATTTCAATGGTGGGATAGTTTTAAAATAATAATGATACATAAGATAGGTTTAATTTAATAACAAGAGGCTCGGTTCTGAATACCTTCTCATCTCTTTTTCTCTTCTAATATTGAAATAACACATGAGGGAGGATTTATATGTACGAATTGAATACTTATTACAGTCACCTTTTGTAACTTTGAATTTCATGGTAACTTCGAACAGTAAAAAATGTATGCATTATGTAGGTAATACAGTGCATTCATTTATCAAAATTACCTGAATTTACATAAATTCAAAGTTACCCTGAAAAATGTAAATGACTTCGTTATTTTTGTTACTATTGTAATACTAATTCAGGAACGTAGATTTTTTACGACTTTACTATTTAGTTACGCAAGCTATTAGTTATCATCATTAGTGTCCGACCGAAAATGGATGTGTGGCCAAAAACGAAACGGCTTGAGTCTCATTTTCGGCGTTATCATACCATCACTGTCTTATTCACGTATTTCTGATATTCGATTCGGCCGAAGCCTCGGCTGGTTTTTGGCCGAAAATGGCCGAAAACTAAACGAAAATTCTGTCGGTCACTCTAGTTATCATAAACCGTAAGATTAGTGTTAAGTAGGCACTGTTGCCTACTGAAAAGCAGTCGTGACATCGTTCCAACGTGAAATCTAAATACGTAACTGAAACCGTGATGAAATATTATGTAAATTATGTCTAGAGAAGACAATACATAAAGAAATAACAGTATACATATACCACCGTTAATTTTATGTAAAAATTACTTGTAAATATGCAATAAGAAGAGTAAAATTTGCATGCTCAAATATTTATAAATATTCTTGTTTCATCTTAAATTTTAATTTCCAATTGTAAGTAAATAAAGAGATTTAACTTTGTACAGTTAGCGGCAAATAGTACGTGACACCTAATTTACAACCCTCAAGGTTCGGCCAAACCAACGCGATCACACGCGATCAGCCGGCGTGCAGCGATGGCGACCAGACTAAGGGTTCATACAAACCAACGCGATCACACCGCGATCAGCCGGCGTGCAGCGATGGCGACCAGACCTAAATGCATTGATCGCCATAGCTGCACGCCGGCTGATCGCGTGTGACCGCGTTGGTTTGGCCGAACCTTTATATTTTCAGTTGTATTGTAACAAAGACATGTTGCGAACTTTTTGGCTACTTTGGATGTCATGAACTATTTGACGCTGACTGTACGATAGTACGGAAGTAGTAGGAAACCTATATGAGGTTACGAACAAGCTCTATTTTAGCTAGTTTTACAATCACCAAATACTCGTATGCATAATACCTATTAATTGACGTACAGTCGACCGCACATCAGAATATGCATTTTTATTGCAAACCAGCACCTGTTTCCAACCACTTAAGATACTAATTTCCAGTTTCATGTGCTGTGGTCTGTACTCACTCATTTGATAAATCAGTGATAAAACACGTGAGCGGTGCGGTGTTTATTGTTTATTATCAGGAAGTAATTTCTTTGTAGATAACGATCGTTTCAAGGTGTTTACATAATACTTCGATTATTAATTAATTGATTAATGAGTAGTGAATAATTGTGATATTATTCGCTTCGTCACTTTCTCACCGTTCGCGTTTGTTTCATATGAGTCACCATCTTGAGATATTGATCGAGTTTGGTATGCTAGACTAAAGCTATTACTGCTTTAATTATTCACTCATAGACTGGGTCATAAAACTTAAATGATTCGGTATAGAGCATGACCCCTAGGTGACTTCGTGATAGAATAAATTTCAAAATCGTGCGAAGCAACTACTTAGGTACTAGGCACAAAGCATGCAGAACTGACGGCAGATAAATCAGCAAGGTTCTGGAAATGGGATTACGACCAAGCGCAACGTATGACGTCCACCCACAAGGTGAACTGAAAGGTGCTGGACTGGACGCAGTCGCTTCTAACCGGGCAATCTGGAAATCGTAATCTGGACATCAATCCTGTTACTGAAATGATAATGATACTGTTGTAATTATAATGGATTCAGTTTTGGGGACCATACCACCTTGCTGCCCCACCGCTACAACTCCTGTGCAGCCAAGATCTACAGCTTGGCTTGGCTTGAAAGATACTGTACGCGCATACATTCCAATTAATGAAACTAGACCCTTCTACACTAACATAGGTCGTACCGGCGAGCGAGACAAAGCGAAGAACTCCAAGTGAAGTGCAAGCGAGATAGATAGGGAGTCAAAAAGCGGCGTTGACGCGCCGAAGCAAAATAGTGACTGTGCATGCACCTCATTTAGGAAGCCCACTTGCGAGACGCTAGTGCCGTTTCTTCCCTTTTGGCAATAACGATAGAACCTATGAAAATCAATTAAATTTTTGTTTCCCAGTTCCCGGAGCTGGCCAAACAGACTGATCTCTCCGAGCGCCAAGTCGAGAGATGGTTCCGTCGCCGCCGCAACCAGGACAAACCTTCCACCCTAGTGAAGTTCTGCGAGAACTCCTGGAAGGTCATTTTCTACGTGTCCAGCTTCAGCTTTGGCGCCTACGTGCTGTGGGACAAGCCCTGGTTGTGGGACATCGACCAGTGCTATATCGGATACCCACACCATGTGAGTACCATTTCTAGTTTGTCACAACACTAGCTGAACCGGCAACTCTTGGAAGGTCGTCTTCTATGTATCCAGCTTTAGCTTTGGTGCCTACGTGCTGTGGGACAAGCCTTGGTTGTGGGACATCGACCAGTGTTATATCGGGTACCCGCACCATGTAAGTATCATCATTTCTAGTTTGTCAACACACAAAACTCTTATTTCTGCAAGTAGACTTTTAAAAAGCACTTTTACACGTCCCCTTATTGACCCTACCACCGCTTCGGGAAAATAAATGTGTCAGTGCTGAGAAGAAGCAGCGCAAGAAACTCAAGTCACTATTTTTTTATCCACAAAGTGGAAGCTTTTGGCCTGCTCACTTGATGGAAGGAAAGTGATCATCAGGCCGAAGGTAGAAGCGAGCTTCACCTGGAATCCTCAACCACAGAGGAACTGGCTATCTTACCTCCAACAGCCGGAACACAACAATGCTGGTAACATTGTTTTATGGCGACAGACTTAGGTAAAATGTGTGATGACTTGGAACAAACTCTACCTCCAACTAAACAGAACAGAAAAATCTGCCCCACTGGGTATCGAACCCGGGACTTCTGGGTCTGAAGTATTTTTTCAATCGAAAAAGGATACTGCCTTAGGTGGGATCTTATATAACTACTCGTTCTCACTATTTAAGCCAAGATCTACAGCTTGACCGTCAATAAAAACCCAACCGGAGAATATGGAATCATGGGATGAATGAAACAATATTTATTTTCGCTGTTAAAATCTTAAAACAAAGATTATGGTCTTCGTTAGTCTTATAATCTTAAACACCTCTAATTTCAAACACCTTTATGTTAACAACTGCCCATAAAAAGTTATTACAAACACATCCATTTTTATTAATAAACCAGCATACAAAATGTAACCATAAACCCGTGTTCAAGCAGTAAAACCAAGTAAAGCCAAAGCAATTTGTTAATATGTTGCACCGAACGTAAACCCCGATTGAAGCGAGATTAGCCCGTGCATTGTTTATAAGGTTTCCGCCGAAGTCGGAAATGCATGTTACTAAAATAATATTTCAAACACGAAAGCTAAATTGGAAAATGGAGGAAAGTAGGTGTAGTACAGTAATTATAGCAATGAATCGTATGTTAGCTCGACGCGGATCAAACGTAACGTGCAATGCTATCGCACTCGCAAGGGATTAGTTAGGGCGATTGGAAAATGAGATTATTTTTACAAAATATTATTGGCATGTATTTAAATGATCTTTTTAAATTAGCAAAAACGGCAAATAAAAAAATCTATATGGTCATCTATTTTAATGATTGGTCCTCTTTCTTTGAGACTTGAAATAAATGAAATCGATCGATATTTTAATCTCTTTTGAACTACGCAAAAAAATATTGAGATGTAAAAATTATATCTGATCGTTACTTGTTGGTCTTCAAAAATAAAAGAAATGAGCACCAAATATTCAATATTGTGATACTTTTTTAAATAATTCGATTTGTATAAATTATTTTTTGTCTATATCAAATAATCTTCAAAATAATTATGTTATGGTACTTATTTTTATTAAGTTGTAGTCAAAGGATGGAAACTATTTAAAGGCACTTGATGTTCAAAGATTTATTTTTTATTAAAAAGCATANTTTTAGTATCGTCAGTTATTTAGAATTATTACTGTTTTTATTTTATCAGGATATACCGCTTAGTTTAAAAGTTATTACGTTTTCTTTACAATAAGTAATTGGAAGAAAAAAAATTTGATAAAAAATTTAAAAAAAATCTCAAAAAATTTTTGACCTCCTTTTTGTCGATAAAAATAGGTCTAGTTTCATCTATTTTCATATGTACACTTTAACGTGACTCACACTGTATTTTCAGTTGTATTGTAACAAAGACATGTTGCGAACTTTTTGGCTACTTTGGGTGTCACGAACTATGTATTTGACGCTGACTACTATAGTAGGTACGGAAGTAGTAGGAAACCTATATGAGGTTACGAACAAGCTCTATTTTAGCTATTTTTACAATCACAAATTACTCGTATGTATAATAACGTACAGTCGACCGCACATCAGAATATGCATTTTCATTGCAAACCAGCACCTGTTTCCAACCACTTAAGATACTAATTTCCAGTTTCATGTGCTGTGCTCTGTACTCATTTGATAAATCAGTGATAAAACACGTGAGCGGTGCGGTGTTTATTGTTTATTATCAGGAAGTAATTTCTTTGTAGATAACGATCGTTTCAAGGTAATTACATAATTAATTAATTGATTAATGAGTGAGTAGTGAATAATTGTGATATTATTCGCTTCGTCACTTTCTCACCATTCGCGTTTGTTTCATATGAGTCACCATCTTGAGATATTGATCGAGTTTGGTATGCTAGACTGAAGCTATTATTGTTTTAATTATTCACTCATGGACTGGGTCAAGAAACTTAAATGTTTCGGTATAGAGCATGACCCCTAGGTGACTTCGTGATAGAATAAATTTCAAAATCGTGCGAAGCAACTACTTAGGTACTAGGCACAAAGCATGCAGAACTGACGGCAGATAAATCAGCAAGGTTCTGGAAATGGGACTACGACCAAGCGCAACGTATGACGTCCACCCACAAGGTGAACTGAAGACCTTATACATAAAGGTTGCAAAAAGGCGCTGGACGCATGACGCTTCTAACCGGCTAATCTGAAAATCGTATGCTAGAAATCAATCTTGTGGCTGAAATGATGATGATATTGTTGTAATTGTCATAGATTCTCTACCAGCAAACGCAGCGTGACCTTATAAAGGTTGTAGGAAGGCGCTGAAACAGGCCACTTCCAACCGGCCATAAATTATGAGAGGAGCCTATGTTCAACAGTGGACAAATGATACAGTTTTGGGGACCATACCACCTTGCTGTCCCACCACTGCTGTACAGCCAGGATCTACAGCTTGGCTTGGCTTGAAAGATACTGTACGTGCTAAACGCGCTTACCAATTAATGAAACTAGACCCTTCATTGGTCGATCCAGCGAGCGAGACAAAGCGAAGAGTTCCAAGTGAAGTGCAAGCGAGATAGATAGGGAGTCAAAAAGCGGCGTTGACGCGCTGAATCGAAATAGTGACTGTGCATGCACCTAATTTATACAGCCCAATTGCGAGACGCTAGTGCCGTTTCTTCCCTTTTGGCAGTAATGATAGAACCCATGAAAATCAATTAAATTTTTGTTCCCCAGTTTCCGGAGCTGGCCAAGCAGACTGATCTCTCCGAGCGTCAAGTCGAGAGATGGTTCCGCCGCCGCCGCAACCAGGACAAACCTTCCACCCTGGTGAAGTTCTGCGAGAACTCCTGGAAGGTCATCTTCTACGTGTCCAGCTTCAGCTTCGGCGCCTACGTGCTGTGGGACAAGCCCTGGTTGTGGGACATCGACCAGTGTTACATCGGATACCCACACCATGTAAGTATTATTTCTAGTTTGGCACAACACTAGCTGACCCGGCAACTCCTGGAAGGTCGTCTTCTATGTGTCCAGCTTCAGCTTCGGTGCCTACGTGCTGTGGGACAAGCCTTGGTTGTGGGACATCGACCAGTGCTACATCGGATACCCACACCATGTAAGTATTATTTTTAGTTTGTCACAACACTAGCTGACCCGGCAACTCCTGGAAGGTCTTCTAAGTGTCCAGCTTCAGCTTCGGCGCCTACGTACTGTGGGACAAGCCTTGGTTGTGGGACATCGACCAGTGTTACATCGGATACCCACACCATGTAAGTATCATTTTTAGTTTGTCACAACACTAGCTGACCCGGCAACTCCTGGAAGGTCTTCTATGTCTCCAGCTTCAGCTTTGGAGCCTACGTACTGTGGGACAAGCCCTGGTTGTGGGACATCGACCAGTGCTATATCGGATACCCACACCATGTAAGTATAATTTCTAGTTTGTCACAACACTAGCTGACCCGGGAACTCCTGGAAGGTCTTCTAAGTGTCCAGCTTCAGCTTTGGTGCCTACGTGCTGTGGGACAAGCCCTGGTTGTGGGACATCGACCAGTGTTACATCGGATACCCACACCATGTAAGTATTATTTTTAGTTTGTCACAACACTAGCTGACCCGGCAACTCCTGGAAGGTCTTCTAAGTGTCCAGCTTCAGCTTCGGCGCCTACGTACTGTGGGACAAGCCTTGGTTGTGGGACATCGACCAGTGTTACATCGGATACCCACACCATGTAAGTATCATTTTTAGTTTGTCACAACACTAGCTGACCCGGCAGCTCTTGGAGGGTCGTCTTCTAAGTGTCCAGCTTCAGTTATGGAGCGTACGTGCTGTGGGACAAGCCCTGGTTGTGGGACATCGACCAGTGCCATGTGAGTACCATCATTTCTAGTCAACACACAAAACTGTTATTTCTGCAAGTAGACTTTTAAAAAGCACTTTTACACGTCCCCGTATTAGTATTAAATTAACCCTACCACCGCTTAGGGACAATAAATGGGCCAGTGCTGAGAAGAAGCAGCGCAAGAAACTCAGTCACTATTTTTTTTTTATCCACAAGGAGGAAGCTCTGTCCTGCACACCTGATGAAAAGTGATCATTAGGCCGAAGGTGGAAGCGAGCTTCACCTGGAATCCTCAACCACAGAGGAACTATATCTTACCTCTGACTGCCGGAACACAACAATGCTGTTAACATTGTTTTTATGGCGACAGACTTAGGTAAAATGATAAAATGACTTAGAACAAACTCTACCTCCAACTAAACAGAACAGAAAAATCTGCCCCCACTGGGTATCGAACCCGGGACTTCTGGGTCTGAAGTATATTTCCAATCAAAAATATACGGCATTAGGTGGGATCGTATAACTATTCTCACATCTCGTTCTCACTATTGCAACTCCTGTGCAGCCAGGAACTACAGCTTCGTTCGTTTCAGCCGAATGACGTCCACTGCTGGACAAAGGCCTCCTCCAAGGTTTTCCACAATTAACGGTCTTGCGCTGCCCGCATCCAAGCTTGACCGCCAGTAAAACCCCAACCGGAGAATATGGAATCATGGGATAAATGAAACAATATTTATTTTCGCTGTTAAAATCTTAAAACAAAGATTATGGTCTTCGTTAGTCTTATAATCTTAAGCACCTCTAATTTCAAACACCTTTATGTTAACAACTGCCCATAAAAAGTTATTACAAACACATCCATTTTTATTAATAAACCAGCATACAAAATGTAACCATAAACCCGTGTTCAAGCAGTAAAACCAAGTAAAGCCAAAGCAATTTGTTAATATGTTGCACCGAACGTAAGCGATTGAAGCGAGATTAGCCCGTGCATTGTTTATAAGGTTTCCGCCGAAGTCGGAAATGCATGTTACTAAAATAATAGTTCAAGGATTTCAAACACGAAAGCTAAATTGGAAAATGGAGGAAAGTAGGTATAGTTACCGTAATTATAGCAATGAATCGTTTGATAGCTCGACGGCGGATCAAACGTAACGTGCAATGCAATCGCACTTTAACTTGCGAGGAATTGAGGCGATTGGAAAATGAGATTTTTTTACAAAAGATTATTATTAGTATTTTTTTCTTACAAATCACGAATAGTCCCGTTAGCCCCTCGTACTAAGCTAAATACGTCTTATCGCATGAAATTATAGCAAACACTCTTAAAAAACAAAACAGTTAAACTTATGTCTGTTAATAAAAACATCAACGTCGTAAATATTCAGCATTAAAATCTATTTTTAAGTCTAACGAGCCATATTAACATAATTTTAATTGCTATATCTTTATTAATATCATTACTTTCCACTATTTTGTGCAATACTTACTCTTTCATTTACATTAATATTGTATTAGATTGGTCTAGTATTATTTTATGTAGAACTAGCTTTCCGCCCGCGGCTTCGCGCGCGTGGAGCCCTGAACCCTTTGTTTTTCCAAAATAAAATTTAGCCTATGTTACTCGTAGATAATGTAGCTTTCTAATGGTGAAAAAATTTTAAAAAATGGTCCAGTAGTTTTTGAGCCTATTCATTACAACCAAACAAACAAACAAAGTTTTCCTCTTTATAATATTAGGGTAGATATGTAAACAAACTGATTATTTTATCAGTGGTATAAATATTTCGATTTTTTTTTGTGTTAAATTAACACCTTTAGTTCATCATTATTTACTTTTTTACTTATCACCTGGGGTGAAAAAGATAACGCCAAGTGATTACAGTTCGAAGTTCAGTTAATTAAATTATGAAAAATATATCTTAAACAACATACAGCGTGACACTGATAACCTTTCCTGAAGTGTCATTCCCAGTGATCCATCTCGTCTAGCACAAACAAAATAGATACATAGTTTATTTCCGCATAATCTATATACTAAATTTATAAATGCGGAAGTAACTCTTGTCTGTCTGTCTGTCTTGCTTTGACGCCTAAACCACTGAACCGATTTTGATGAAAGACTTAGAGATAGTTTGAGTCTCGGGAAAGGACATAGGATAGTTTTTATCCCGGTTTTTGAAACAGGACGCGCGCGACAAAGTTTTTTTGTGACAGTTAAAATTCCACGCAGGCAAAGCCGCGGGCGGAAAGCTATTATTATCATACAACTAGTCCAATTCTCCCCGTGGATGTCGTAAAAGAGGACAATAAAATATGCGTCAGGAGGCCTAACCTGTCAGGCTTGCATAGGATCGAGACTATTCCCACCTTTCGTTCCCACCGCTGCAACTCAGCTGTAGCCAGGGGTAGCGCATTTTCTTACATAACTTTTCAATTCCTATCATTGGAGGTCCGAAAATATTTCTCATACAATTTGATACCATAATGATCATTCTTCATAAAAAATTTAAAACCTACACATTTAAAAACATAATCATTGATATTCATAATATCACTAATCATACACTTAGTTTTTACTAATATTTGTTTTCATATATTTTTCTGTACTAATGATCGAAACTCATAATCATTCGAATTAATAACTATAATATTCATAAATGTGATGTATCCTAATATTTGTTTTCATAAATTTATTACTCATAACTGTATTTATCCATATTATTGAAAATCATGATGTCTAATGTCTATATTCGTATTAAATCGTAATTTAACATTAAATTAATTTGAAATGGTCCAAAACAGGCAATATTTTGTGCCACAAAACTAACGTGACAGAAACGAATCGCTGCAAAACCGACTCCACGTAGTCTTGTCTGCCCTACCCCTAGAGTGTAATTTAAAAGCCGGAGGCGCGGAGGGAGGGCAGCCCTCGCCCGCTGTAACGAGGCTCAGGCGCCCGGGTGAGCTGGAGCGGCTGAGGCTGGTCGCCGAGGCGCCGAAGGCGCCGATGGCGATCCAAAAAGCCGAAGCTGCGGAAGCAAGCGTGGGTGCCTGAGCCTCGTTACGCAAGGGCGGAAGGGCTGCACATCCCGCAGCGCCGGAGACGAGGAGATACCAATGCATGCTGCATGCTTGCTTTCATGCTGCATGCTCTGCATGCTTATCTACTCTATTAAATTATACATGATTTTTTAAAGATACGAGTATGTCTGTTATAAAGTAAATTATTCTGAACAACAACATTATGAGTTGAAGTATGTTCTTAGTAACAACATTATTAATTAAAACAATATGATCAATGAATGTTATGAAGAAAAAAGATCTGAAAATAAAAATTATGTATTTTAAATGGTTCTTGGTAGTAACAGTATTGATAAAAAAATTATGATTACTAACTGTTATGAGCTCCGATGGTAGTAATAAAAATGTATGAATAAAAAAAGTATGAAAAACAAAATTATGAAGAGAGATTATTATGAACACAAATCGGTAGTAAGACAAAGAATAGGATTTAGAATTTTATGTGAGCCAATATAGAACCGTAGCCAGGATATACTCTACAGCTTGACCGCCAATAACGCAACCAGTGAAGGTCCAGTTTGTTCCCGGAGAAAGTTGATCTGTCATTGGACCCGCAACGAAATTAATCAGAAGAATTAATCCGAATATTTCCTAAGTCTAGCTCAAACTAACATAATCTTGCTAAGCTCTTAGTGATGATCATTAAGACCTAAATGCCATCTGAGATAGCACGTTTACATAATTAATTTTTTTTGCCAACAAATCATTTGGTTGATATGGATAGTAATATAGTATGATAGTAGAATTTAAGCTATCGCTCTTCTTAATTTATCAGCTTGATAAAAGTATTATAAAGATTATGATTGTCAATTAAAGGTGATTGCACATTCTTATGTGGTTTTTATGTATACGAACTTATTTTTCTTTCCGTTTGCGGTTTAACTGTTACGTAGCTTTTATTTCTATTGTTTTTAGCTTTTTACCTGATCGCGCTAGAAGGATTTTTCTATTACTATTATGAGTATAAATATATTTTTAAATATTCTAATAACTTATTCATGATCGCGACATTGAGCTACCTGGTCGCCCGGTGCTCGTTTGACGTTAAGGTTTGGATACACCCTGTACATCCCTATAATGGAGTAGTAAATTGATATCAATTAGTAATTCCACTAAAGCCAAACTTTAAAAAACCACTTAATCTTAGAAGTAAATAGATGGTCGCTTAGGTGGACCTAAGGGCTACAGCAGACATGATACTTTTATTTAGCATCGGCGATTGGCGATTTTTCGACTGTATCGTTTCTGAATCACGTCTTGGCGACTCTCTGCGCTCGATGCCTCAATCGAACTTCCGAAAAGCGACTCATTCGCCGCGTTTGACCTGCCTAAATTGCGTTTTTCGGTCAATAAATGAAATGTTTTTTTCCAGGGCGTAACCAACGACGTGTGGTGGTACTACACGATATCTTCAGCGTTCTACTGGTCGCTGATGATCTCCCAGTTCTGGGACGTGCGCCGCAAGGACTTCTGGCAGATGTTCGTCCACCACGTGGCCACCATCGCGCTGTTGTCCTTCAGCTGGGTCTGCAACCTGCACAGGATCGGGACCTTGGTGCTATGGTGCCATGACCTGCCGGATATCTTTGTTGAGGTATGTTAAGCTTATAATGAGACTTGCAAGATTTGTTGAGGTATTTTGAACTTAGTATACATAAAATATGTAGAGGTTTATTAACACTTTACAGGGCTCTGGCAAATATGTATATTGCCATAATAATTTGAACTTAATTTCACTCAACATAAGGTCGTAAATCAATGAAAGTTTTTATTAGGTTGTGCCTTATAAAGGGTTAAGTCCACATTCTACTGACGCAGTCATTCGTTTAATATATTTGAACCAATTTGAGCTTTTGGCATTGCATAATACAAAACTTGCCCACTCACCCTGTGGTATCGGTTTTGGTGCACAAATGGGAGAGAAAATATGAGAAAAGTGAGTGGCTCTTATATGTGGCTACATAACTTGATTACTATATTAGGCTATGCAATTCGTAACCAAGCTTGGATCCAAGTCATAATGGTTTAAAATTTAATTTTTTCCCAAGCCAGTATAGATAATATCATTTTTAACAAGGCCCTTAGCCCTGATTTTTCAGACGTGCGTTTCTAGTTCTACAAATTTTAATTTTCAAAGTCAAAATGAATGTCTATTGCATTTCATGAATGTTACGCAGCGTTTATTCAGCGTTCCAGCAGCGAGGCTTACCTATCTCCTTTTGTTACTTGTTTGCGAGGTGATTCATCAATATTTGTTTATCTTTCCGCAGTCGGTGAAGGCGGCGAAATATGCTAAGTACCAGAAGCTGTGCGACGCGCTGTTCCTCGTGCTCATCGTGTCGTGGCTCGCCACGCGCGTCGGCATCTTCCCCTTCTACATCATCCGCAGGTAACATTTATGCGTCACACATTATCTTAGTGTGTGCTCCGTTATAGTACTAGCAGTGCTTGCAGCGCTATAACGGACAGCCTTAGGCTGGTTTTAGAATCACGCTGATGCACGCTGACCGTCAGCGCTCACAGCCAAAATGCATGAAGCGTCGGCGCCGAGCGATTAGCGTCACTCAGGAACGTTCCCTTTAATTACATACATTTTTATTTGTCAGCGCCGACGATCAGCGAGCGGTCAGCGCGATTCTAAAACCAGCCTTAGACTCCACTGCATAAACTCGATTCTCTCCCATGTAGGTAGGTACCAATAGATAGTACTACAAAGACACGTCCCACCAATTTTTGGTCTCGGTCGCGCGGGGTGCGATTAGTTTGATCCGAGCAATCCGAGCGTCATTATTGTAGAGTGCGTGTGCACTCATGGATGATTTAGCGTGTACCGATAACACTCAAATATTTGTGGAAGTAGGTATGCATACATAAACTATAAACAGCATCATAATTTCAGCCGCAGAACGTCCACTGCTGAACATGGGCCTCTTTCCAGCACTGGATCATTAACCATCCAGTGCACACATTAAGTTGAAAGGAAATCCTCTCATTACTGGTTGGAATACTATCCTTGCACTTTTTTCCTGCGTCAAAGCTTGTAATATAAACTCGTTGATCTTTGCACGTATATTGGAGGTGCAAAGCATATTCCCAGAAATAATAGTGAGTGTTACGAGATCTCCCCCCGGACGAACTTTGTCCAGGAGTAAGTGGCTTTCAAATCCTCTTAACACAATCAAATCAAATCAAATCACTTTATTTGTAAAAATGTGGGTAAAAATGATGACAATTAATATGGAAAAAAGTACAAACACATTTACCATTACTGGCATACAAATATTTTATGGAATCGAATTAATATTAAAATGTCAAATTATAATATAAGTCAATACAATACAATTCAAATTAAATACAATAAAATACATAAGAATTCACATTCAATGGTTATGGTTCCAGCACTTTGATCCGCGCGCCGCAGCTGGTGCCGATGTTCCCGGCATACTACATCTTCAACACGCTGCTGGTGCTACTCCAGGTGCTGCACGTGGTGTGGACGTGGCTCATCCTGCTCATGGCCTACAACACCATCAAGGCCGGACAGGTGCGTACATCAACGGCCGGTCGAGCTTGACACTAGTGTCGGCCGTTTGGTGTAGTGGTGCAGAGCGGACTACTATGCCGAGAGGTCCCGGGTTCGATTCCCGGCCGGGCAGAAATTGAAATGATGAATTTTAATTTCTGTGACGGGTCTGGGTGTTAGTATGTATAATATGTATGTATTTAAAAAAAAAAGTATGTAAGTAGTATATCCGTTAAGCTAGCACCCATAACACAAGCATTAAGTTGCTTACTTTGGGGCTAGCTGGCGCTGTGTGAAATTGTCCAAAGATTAAAAAAAAAAGTGTCAAGAGACCCCGCTAAAAACGCTTGTTCCCAACGAGTTTTTTTCTGAACGAGTCACACCCAAACGAGTAACCCTGTTATTAACCGTTGGATTTTTTTTCCCAACTAGTCACATTGGCACTGATCACAAACATTAAATAGGGTAAACCAGAGAGTGATTGCCCACTGGTAGTGATTGCCCGCTTTAAGATTAATATTGTCAGGTGCTGACTTTGAATCCCTCTAGTTACATTTGAATTTACTAAGTAGATGGCTCCGAGATCAATGTACAGTATATTTAAAATTTACAATAGGAAACACTTAAAAAAAAACAGTTATGGCGGATTTTGTTAAGACGGGTGAAAATGTTACTCAAACAGGTAAAGACTTTAACAATTTTACTAAGGAATTACTTGCTTAGAGGTTAAATTTTTTTTGCAAGTTATTTAATATTCAAGTAATGGTGTATAGTCATGATGAAATTATAAGTGTTTTTTCCATTATCAATGAAAATAACTGATAAAATTTGATTTCTAACGGTCATTTTAAGGGTGGGTAATCNTCATCTATGTTTTGAAGTAGATGATTCTGTCTCTACCGATTCTGACTCATGAACATCAGCTCAAGAAATATTTGATAATATAGTTAATAAGGCCAAACGCAATTTATTTTGAAATTTTGAAGACTGTACTACTAGAATTTAAGTTTAATGTTTTGTTTTGTTTATTTAAAGCCTATTTTGTTATTTTAAAATTGATTATTTTGTTTTAAGATACTGGGCAATTACTGTGCTTTGATGTGGGCAATTAGTGTAAGTAATGGGCAATGACTGTACTTTTTGGAGGATTTTAAATTTATTTCAATATTTTCTAAGTTACGTAAGTTTTAACTAAAAACTGTTAATATTCTGTTTAACAGTTTATTGAGTTATAAGAAAAAAGTCATAAATGGTCGATAATTAAAATACTTTCTTTAATTTTTCATTTCAATGTGTTTGAAATCTTTAAGTGGGCAATAGCTATACGGTTTACCCTACCTTTAATCCTACTAATATTATGCGAATGTTTGTATGGATGTCTGTATGTCAACATGTTTGTTACTCTTTCACGCAAAAACTACTACATGGATTTCGACGAAACTTTACAGTATTATTGTTTATAACCCAGAAAACATATAGGCTATAATTTATGACGATATACAAACTAAACTTCAATAAATAAATAAGACGTGAGAAATATAAAGCGCCATCTAATAAACATTGCTTATGACGTTCATTAATATTCATCATTCATTTCCCAACGAGTAACAGGGTTACTCATTTTGGTGTGACATGTTGGGAACAAGAAAATACAGACAAGTATTATGTAAGAGGTTAATAAACAGAAAATACACACTTACAAGGTTGAATACTTACTCATTTAAATATTTATAAACATTTCAGATGGAAGGCGACATTCGTAGCTCGAACTCGGAGCTGAGCTCGTCGCCGCACGACTCGGGCCGCGCCTCACCCACCACCAACCACCTCAACCACAACCATCACAAGTGAGTACCATCATCAGGTCATTTACCTACCCATTGTCCTTGGTAACCCGTTGAGTCCCATCATCATCAGGTCATTTACCTACCCATTGTCCTTGGTAACCCGTTGAGTCCCATCATCATCAGTCATTTACCTACCCATTGTCCTTGGTAACCCGTTGAGTCCCATCATCATCAGTCATTTACCTACCAATTGTCCTTGGTAACCCGTTGAGTCCCATCATCATCAGTCATTTACCTAGCCATTGTCCTTGGTAACCCGTTGAGTCCCATCATCATCAGTCATTTACCTAGCCATTGTCCTTAGTAACTCATTGTCCTAGATTAGCGACACAAAAAATACGCATATACAAATCAGAGGGAGTAGTGTGAGTTTACGTGAAACGCATTCGATGTCTACTGCGTAAAAAATTGACATTAAGGCGATTATCACACTGCGCCGCGGTACGCGGGACGACAGATTTAATCATTGTATGCAAGTACCTCAGTTTGTATAGAAAACACGCGCAGCACAACACACTGACAACGCGTCTTTTATATGAAATCACGCGGACCGCGGCGGAGCGCGGCGCAGTGTGATAATCGCCTAAATGTATGACGGATTGTACAGCGTACCTAGCGGAAACTTTCAAGAACTAAAATATCATATTTTTAACGCGCTCACTAGTGACGGACGTTTGATGTAAACTCACACTAAGCCCTCAGTTCGTTTAGGCTTCTTGTACACGCTAAGAAATTTCACCGTGTCTACCGCAGACAAGACGAGAATTTCGTCGGACCTAAAGTCCGGTCGCCGAGCAGATAGAATTCCGTCCAATGACACCAAGCTACCCATCCTTATCGTTCGCGTGTAATTATACTACTGTCACGCTCGCACACTCACTGCGACCGCCCATCGGGCGTGGGTAGCTTGGGGTCGTTGTACGAATTTCTGTCTGCTCGGCGACCGGACTTTAGCTACGAATGTCACACAGTCCGCGTTCGCCGCGGGTCGTATCTAGCGCAGACAAGAATTATTTCTTGGTCAGCGCCGGAGCAAATATGTACACGGTTCGTGACGTGTGTAGAAACGACACGAATTCTTGCGTAGGCTCGGCGACTTTTCTTAGCGTGTACAAGCGGCTTTAGCCTCCACTGTACCTTCTAATATTTTTTCGAAGTTTCGAATGTTGCCATCACTCTCACACAAAGCGAGATGCTAGCATGCGTGACTACGTCAACAGCATTTCGGAATAGCTCTGCTGTTCCAACTACATAACTCGACCTAAATAAAAAATAAAAAACTTTAGCGATATCTTAATCCCAACTAATATTATAAATGCGAAAGTAACTCTGTCTGTCTGTCTGTTACGCTTTCCCGCTTAAACCTCGCAACCGATTTTTATGAAATTTGGCATAGAGATAGTTTGAGTCCCGGGAAAGAACATAGGATAGTTTTTATCCCGGTTTTTGAAACAGGGACGCGCGCGATAAAGTTTTTCTGTGACAGCCAAAATTCCACGCGGGCGAAGCCGCGGGCGGAAAGCTAGTTCTTTATAAATCTTAAGCATTGTTTTCTTGTACACCCTATTTTCTAAAAATGTAATTGTTATTTCATAATTTGCCCTATTGAGATTAGTTTTAGAACTTAAATTCAAATTTTAATCCCTCTCTTTTATTTTCAGGAATAAATAGACTGATTTAGATTGAACTATACATTGGGATATACAACTAGCAGTCGTCTGCCGGACGGGTACTCCATATTCCTACCATATTGTTATATTTTTCGATCCCTATACTGTTTTTATAAGGGATTTACATAGATTAATGCAGACTTCAACCGCAATTTTTAGCTTTGTTACTTGTGTGTTAGGCCCAGAACAGACGGTGAAACGCAACTGCAACGAAACTGCAACTGCTAGTTACTTTTGAGTTGCATCTAAGTTTCTGCCATAGCGTCCGTTGAGAGACCACACATGACGCGACCAGTTTGAAACTTTCAGTTTCAGTTTCATTCATAAGAATCATCAGAAAGTTGCAGTTTCGTTGCAGTTGCGTTTCACCGTCTGTTCTGGGCCTTAAGGTTGAAATTTCTACACCATTTAGTGGCTCCAGTGATTTGTTCACTACTCGCCAGGTGGCTCTGATGTCATTTCGCAAATTGATCGAATTTTAGTTTCTATTTTGTAATTTATAAAGTTTACTTCCAAAAATATCCTTATACCTTTAAAAATCTGCGATTATTAAATAGGACAGGCTGAGAAGTTCCTTTTTCAGAATTCTTCGCACAAGTACACACGGCCACACTGTTAACTATCCATTTCCGTTTTTGCTCTCGCTCTTATCAAATGGTGATTCTTTACGATAGAACGAGACGACATGACAGGCAATGGATAGTTAACACTGTTGCCGATGGTATGTGTTTTGTGTTTAAATTCTGCACGCATTTTCTTGAAATACTAACTTGTAAGCCTAGAAAAAATGTACGAAAATTTCATAGATTTTTTTATCCACAATGAGAAAGCTCTTGGCCTGCATCTCACCTGATGGAAAGTGATGATCAGGCCGAAGGTGGAAGCGAGCTTCACCCGGAATTCTCAACCACAGAGGAACTGGCTATCTTACCTCCAACTGCCGGAATACAACAATGCTGCTAACATTGTTGTTATGGTNGTTATGGCGACAGACTTAGATAATATGGTTATAAATAAAAATAAGAGAGGCTACAAGTTCGATCAATTTCAAATGCGTCGGCGCAGCCTACCGGCTTTCATACGGAATTGATCTTTGTTTCAAACAGTTAAAAGTCAACAATCTAGATTTACGTTTAAGAAGTTTGCTAGATCACATTTGTAGTGTCAAATAATTTGCAATGTATCATTGCTTTGGATAAGATGCTAATTTTATGTTGATTTAGGAACGAAGAGGTTTTATTAGAGACGGGAAGGTTTTGAATACCAGCGAAACAATTTAAAGACTTCTATGTCCAATGACCCCAAGCTACCTATTCTTATCGCTCGCGCGTAATTATATTGCTGTCGCGACTGTACGACGGGCGCCCGCAGTGAGTGTGCGAGCGCGAGGATGGGCAGCTTAGGGTCATTGGACGAAATTCTACGTGCTCGGCGACCGGACTTTACAGTTCAGTTTCAGTCAGTGCCTGATGTATGGGAGCAAGGGAGGGTGTTTTTGTAACGTCAAACGTCAGGGAAACTTCAGATCTTCAGATTTATATGCTCTGTCACGTTATAATATGACAATGTCATCCCGTGCCGCTCTCATCCTTCAGGCATTGACCGAGTTAGAGTAGGCGACGATAGTTGTGCCCGATTTTAAATTGTATGAAGAATCGGCCAAATCGAATCGGCGTAGTGTGCGCACTCCCATACATGCCCATACTGATCAACTGCCTGAGTAAACTATCGGCCGACGAAAATTCAACGGTGTGCCTACTCTTAAGCGCTGAAACTATAGACTGTGTTGAACTAAGAATTATTTAGTAAATTGTTGAGAAGTATCAACAACTTGATCGATTAAGAGCAAGCGTAAGAAGCATAGAAGTCTTTTGAATAAAAATATGCTGCCAGTGAAATGAAAAAAAATGGTCTCCCTGATTGAAAATGGGTGTTAATAATAAATTATTATAAACCACTGTGTTTCTTCAATAAATTAATTTTAATCAAGCAACAGCTTCTGTAATAGAATTTACAAAATAATTTGTATTTATTTATGAGTAATAATGTGTTGTATAAGATTAATAATATTAATTTATTTTATAACACTGGTCACAATGTTTGTCGTTTACTAACACTTAGGAATTCCATAAAATACCTGCATTATGTAATTTCGTATAGAAAGTCTATTTTCTACACTTATTTTTGATTTCTTTACAGTTTAAGTTATTTCGTAATGCTATTTACATTTTCCATGAAGCATTTATTTTTGTCTTTTTATATTATGTACTTTTACGCCGTCTGTGCTTGGTACAAGAGGCTAATACAAGAATGATCTCCATCAATAAATATTATACCTCGTTTTTAGGCAAAATGTTTCGGAGAGTGTTGCCATAACGATTAGAAACTTACACATCGACGGTTATGGAAATATTTTTTTATTCTAAGGTCGCTGTTACAAAATAATTGGTCCTAAATCTAGAGCCATAAAAAAGGACAAGATATTTAAAAAAAAAGTCCTTTCTTTTTTTCACAGACACATTTTAATGTTCTTAAAAATAATTGTAATTCTCAATTATTGAAAATTTCCGACTCTACGGCATAGTTTAATCTATTTACTTAATTTTTATGTGTATTATTTTTTGATGGTGATTAACAATTAAATATATTTTATAAAACTACCTGTGTACCTAATTGGAGTAAATGTAAACAACTATGTATCGTTAAGTAGCCAAAGATAAGTCATAATAATAATATCTATTTTTAGACCTCTATTTAATCACTACTTCCATATAATTATTTCATTTTACTAACATTATTGTAATCTAAATAAACTTTGTGCATTTCTTGAGTATAAAAGAGTCCTACTTTGGCTTCTTGTATCAAATCGCAGAAGCGACTGAGACCGTATGAAATGGGCCGAAATGTAACAGGGGGGTAAAAGTATAACAGGGGTGGCCAACCGGTCGATCGCGAATATTAGTCCAGTCGATCGTGGCAAGGCAAAAAATACTATACATGATTGTGTAATACTATAAATGGGGAGAAGCCTTGGGACCAGATGGTACCAGATATCTGGTGGTATCACGGCGTTTAGCAAGGCTTAGCGCACCAGGGACAAGCAGGGGATCCCCAGCCGAAACCAAATTCACGATTTAATCGTAATTTTTTAATTATTGAATAGCCTGTTTCGTATATTCGCATGTAACACCCTGTATTGTCGATACTATAATATGAATGATAATATATCAAGCTAGTGTCATTTTTTAAATTATGAAAATGTACATGTACTGTTATTTACTTATTGGTTTTCGTTGAGGTTCCCTTTGCGTTGCCTTGCGCAGGGTAATTTAATGTGTTTATTTGTATAAAATTGTTACCACGGCGGACATCTTAATTGGTTGNATGTGTATTATTTTTTGATGGTGATTAACAATTAAATATATTTTATAAAACTACCTGTGTACCTAATTGGAGTAAATGTAAACAACTATGTATCGTTAAGTAGCCAAAGATAAGTCATAATAATAATATCTATTTTTAGACCTCTATTTAATCACTACTTCCATATAATTATTTCATTTTACTAACATTATTGTAATCGAAATAAGCTTTGTGCATTTCTTAAGTATAAAAGAGTCCTACTTTGGCTTCTTGTATCAAATCGCAGAAGCGACTGAGACCGTATGAAATGGGCCGAAATGTAACATAAGTATAACAGGGGTGGCCAACCGGTCGATCGCGAATATTAGTCCAGTCGATCGTGGCAAGGCAAAAAATACTGTACATGATTGTGTACTAAACTATGCTGTTCCATTTAAGATTTCAAGAAGTATGTAAGTGTTAGATCGCCCAGGGTTTCGTTAGTAAACAGTAGATCTTATGTCTAATCAAGTTGGCCACCCCTGAAATACAGGAATAGGCAATCTTGTAAACAAATAATTACTACTTACTATTATTACTACAAACGGGTTATTCACCAACTCGACACAAGAGACTGGACTCACGTAAAAGTGATTTCATTCACGTAAAAATCTTAAGTGTATCCAGTGGGCTGAGTGTGACTCTACATCAAACGCGCTCACTAGTGAGCTCGTTTAAAAAATGTATGAAAATTTTAGTTTTTGAACGTTTCCCGCTAGGGGCGCTGTACAAACCGTCATACATTTAATGTCATTTTTTGACGCGCGTTTGATGTAAACTCACACTAGGCCCTCAGATGATGAAATAATAAGCGATACTAATTTTGAGTTACACCAAACTGTACGGCTAGCAAGAAAAACTTTCGAGTTCGAATCGTTTGCGTATTCGAATCGTCATCAAAAGATTTAGTACAAAAACTACAACAGCGCCCTTGTGAACGTGTCGTAAAGTGAACCTATAATGAGAAATGGTTGCATGAAACTTATTTTGAGAATCAAAATTATCACGTTATCGTTTAATTCGAAGATTTAATATCGAATTTTGTCGAGTACGCAAACGATTCGAAAACGAAAGTTGTTCATGCTAGAGGTACTGCACACACGTATGGTGAGTTGGTGAATAACCCCTAATTACACCAGATTAAAAGTGGACGCCTCTGTGCTATGGTCTACTGGTTTTAGACTGGTCTCTCGCGGTCCAGGATTTTTGTATTACATAAAATTGCTGAATTCTATTGAGGTGGACTCTATTGTCGACATGGTTCTGTCTCACATCAAATGGGGAGAAGCCTTGGGACCAGATGGTACCAGATATCTGGTGGTATCACGGCGTTTAGCAAGGCTTAGCGCACCAGGGACAAGCAGGGGATTCCCAGCCGAAACCAAATTAACGATTTAATCGTAATTTTTAAATTATTGGTAGCCTATCGAATAGCCTGTTTCGTATATTCGCATGTAACACCCTGTATTGTCTATACTATAATATGAATGATATACATCACGCTAAAGTGTCATTTTTAAATTCATATTGATTTATGAAAACGGTACACGTTGTTTACTTATTGGTTTTCGTTTGGGTTCCCTTTGCGTTGCCTTGCGCAGGGTAATATTTAGTGTTTATTTGTATAAAATTGTTACCACGGCGGACATCTTAGTTGGTTGCCGGTAGTTACGGATGCGATGAGATTAGTATAGTCCTTCCATGTTACTGAAATCTCCAGTTTTAGAAACTACTTATATTTTGTAATTGTTTATCGTATTTATATGAGAAATTATGCATTTTCTAAACATTTCTTTTGTATGCCTTTTAGTAATGTGGATTTAACATCTACCATACAGGGTGAAGCAAATAATGGACGAAGTTAGAGGCAAAAAACTGTACTAATACCCAGTATAAGTTAATATTTTTTTGCAATTTTATCATAGCGGGTCCAATAGCTTCTTATTTTTAATAATAAAAGTATTCTGCCTCACAATGTAACTTATATTATTTCACCCTATATCGGCGTTCCTACAGTATGCGTAAGGACGCTATGTAATGAATAGTGTTAATAATATTGTTATTTTGTAAGAGAAAGGACTTTTACCTCTTTGATATTTGGAACTTAGATAATCTATTATTTATTGTAAACCATAAGTGTGTATATTTGGGAAATATACTATAAAAGGCTAAAGTTAATTTACACTTGTTTCTCGTGTTACACTGGACACACTGTATGACAGTAAAATTATTCTTCCTTTCAAATATTAGTGTGGCAAATGTATGTAGTACTGTTACTAAGAATTTAGTAGGCAATTGATTTTGTTATTTACTTAGTCGAATTATTGTGTATTGAGAAACCTTTGTAACTGAACCTTAGATGTTATTTCTATGTGAAACAAACGGTGAAATGTTGAATCGAAATAAATATTGATTACAAACAATTTCTAACTTTTATTTACTTGGTGAAATATTCAATGTATAAAGTGTTAGTCAGCTCTGAAATTCACTTGGTGTTTTTCATTTGTGAGTAAAATAGTTTACTGAGAAGTTATCTAATAATTTATCAGAGTTCTATGAAAATAAGTGTGCATGTATCATTTTCGGTACAGCCAATAGACAATTAACTTGTGAAGTTATAATGTAAAATCATGTCGTTAGCCTACTCTGTGTTAGGATAGTTAAATGAAAACCAATATTTTATGTAATTCGTTTTAATTCAAAGTAGTTATAATTACTTTAATTACATAAAAATCTTAATCATCTAACCTAAGATATCAACTAGATAACACAATAATTTGCGAGCTCAATCGCAACGTTTTCCGATTACTTGTCAAGACCCAGCCCGGTGGGTTCAGTTCATTGTCTTTATCACTAGAATTACACTAATTATTTACACAGTCTTCGTCCGAGTCGGAGGGCGCGGGGCCCCCGGGGGCCTCCTGTTATAGGATGGTCAGGCTGATGCGGCGGTCGTGGATCGTGTCCATGTGGCGGGTTTTCAGTGCGCGCTGAGCATCGAAANCATCTTAATTGGTTGCCAGTAGTTACGGATGCGATGAGATTAGTATAGTCCTTCCATGTTACTGAAATCTCCAGTTTTAGAAACTACTTATATTTTGTAATTGTTTATCGTATTTATAATATGAGAAATTATGCATTTTCTAAACATTTCTTTTGTATGCCTTTTAGTAATGTGGATTTAACATCTACCATACAGGGTGAAGCAAATAATGGACGAAGTTAGAGGCAAAAAACTGTACTACTTCCCAGTATAAGTTAATATTTTTTTGCAATTTTATCATAGCGGGTCCAATAGCTTCTTATTTTTAATAATAAAAGTATTCTGCCTCACAATGTAACTTATATTATTTCACCCTATATTGGCGTTCCTACAGTATGCGTAAGGACGCTATGTAATAAATAGTGTTAATAATATTGTTATTTTGTAAGAGAAAGGACTTTTACCTCTTTGATATTTGGAACTTAGATAATCTATTATTTATTGTAAACCATAAGTGTGTATATTTGGGAAATATACTATAAAAGGCTAAAGTTAATTTACACTCGTTTCTCGTGTTACACTGGACACACTGTATAACAGTAAAATTATTCTTTCTTTCAAATATTAGTGTGGCAAATGTATGTAGAATTACTGTTACTAAGAATTTAGTAGGCAATTGATTTTGTTATTTACTTAGTCGAATTATTGTGTATTGAGAAACCTGGGTAACTGAACCTTAGATGTTATTTCTATGTGAAACAAACGGTGAAATGTTGAATCGAAATAAATATTGATTACAAACAATTTCTTACTTTTATTTACTTGTTGAGTGTAGGTATATTGAAATATTCAATGTATAGTGTCAGTCAGATCTGAAATTCACTTGGTGATTACTATTTTTGTGAGTAAAAGTACTGTTTTATTGATCTTTTGCTGAGAAATTTTCTTATCTAATAATTTATCAGAGTTCAATGAAAATAAGTGTGCATGTATCAATTACGGTACAGCCAATAGACGTTAACTTGTGAAGTTATAATAAAAAATCATGTCATTAACCTACTTTGTGTTGGGATAGTTAAATAAAAACCAAGGATTTATGTAATTCGTTTTAATCCAAAGTAGTTATAATTACTTTAATTACATAAAAATCTTAATCATCTACCTAAGATATCAACTAGATAACACAATAATTTGCGAGCTCAATCGCAACGTTTTCCGATCACTTGTCAAGTCCCAGCCCGGTGGGTTCAGTTCATTGTCTTTATCACTAGAATTACACTAATTATTTACACAGTCTTCGTCCGAGTCGGAGGGCGCGGGGCCCCCGGGGGCCTCCTGTTATAGGATGGTCAGGCTGATGCGGCGGTCGTGGATCGTGTCCATGTGGCGGGTTTTTAACGCGCGTTGCGCATCAAAANCATCGAAAGGCGTGCGGAAGGCGACTCGCGCGTCGCCCGTGGGCTGCCCGCGCTCGTTGTACCGCCGGATGACGTCATCGGTCGTCAGCTCGAACTCGCCAAAGAACTGCATGATCTCGTCGATGGACGCGCGGAAGGGCACGTTCTCCATGGACACGACGCAGCCCGGCGCGCCGAAGTCTTCCAGCGCCGGGTCCTCGTCGTCGCGCGCGCCCCCGCCGCCCCCGCCCCGCCCGCGCCCCGCGAAGCCGCGCCCGCGTCCGCGCTCAAACCCGCCCCGCCCGCGGTCGAAGCCGCCGCGCCCGCGGTACTGGCCGCGGCCCTGGTCGAAGCCGCCCCGGTAGCCGCCGCGCGAGCCGTCGAAGCCGCCCCGGCCGTTGTCGAAGCCCCCGCGGCCGTTGTCGAACCCACCCCGACCGGCGTCGAAGCCCCCCCGGCTGCGGAAGGCGCCGCGCGGCGCGAATCCTCCCCGGGGCGCGTCGTAGAACTGCGGCTGCTGCGGCGCGCTGCCGAGCAGGCCCTCGGGCTGGCGCGGGCCCTCGAGCGCCTCCTGCACGACGCCGCGCGGCACCAGGTCCACGGTGACGCGGCAGCCGTCCAGCTCGCGGCCGTGCTTGGCGGCGGCCAGGCGAGCCTCCGCCGCCGCGCGGAACTCGCAGAAGCAGTCGCCGGACGGCAGCCCGGCCGCGTCCAGCATCAGGTGGATGCGCGTCGGCACGGCGCCGGTGTCCGCCAGGAACGTCACGATGGTGCGGTCGGTGGCGGCGCGCGGGAGACCCTTCATGAGCACGCAGTCGAGCGCGTCGTCGTCCGCCGGGCTCGCGTTCGCGCCCATCGCCTGCATCGGGCCCATCGGGCCGGGGCCGGCGCCCATCGGCCCGCCGCTCATCGGGCCGCCGGGCCGCGTCGCCCAGTTGGCGGCGGCGGTGCGCGGGTCCATCGCGCCGGGCCCCGGGAAGCCGCCGTACTGCGGGCCGCCGAAGCCGGCGCCGGCGAAGTTCTGCTGAGGGAACGGGCCCGGGAAGAACGGCGCGTTCTGAGCAGGTGCTGGTTGCGGCGCGCGGGGCCCGGCGTCGAACTGGCGGCGCTGGCGCGGGTCCCGCGGGCCCTCGGGCGCGGGCTCGACGACGGGCGAGGCGGCCGGTTTGATCTCCGGCATGCGGTCGTTCTGCGCCTTCTCCTTCTCGTAGTCTTCATCGGTCACAGGCACGATCGTCGGATGGCGACGCCCGAAAATGTACCGCTCCTTGCGGTCGAAGGCCTGGCGCGCGTCGTCGGCCTTCACGAACTGCACGAAGGCGACCTTGGTGCGCGTCTGGCGGCAGTCGTTGAGCATGATGGACAGCAGCGAGTAGTCGCCGAAGGCCTTGATGATGTCGTGCTCCTTGACGAAGTGCGGCAGGTCTGTGAGCTTGAGCACGCTGTAGACGAGGCGCGGCTCGTCGTCGGCGATGACGAGCGCGTCGGCGTCGTCGTCGCGGTAGGGCAGGAAGGAATCGACGGCGGACTCGTAGGCGGCGTCGTCGAGGGGCTCCACGGCCACGTCGGCGCCCTTGAGCTCGTTGTTCTTGCGCTGGAGGGCGAGCTGTCGCGAGCGCGCGTCGCAGAAGCGCACGAAGATGTTGCCGGTGCGGCGGCCGAGGTTGTCGTTGATCATCTTGATGCCGTGCTTGTCGATCATGAAGGGGAAGAAGCGGCGCACGTCGCCGTAGCTGGTGTGGTTGGGCGCGTTGCGGATGGCCACGCAGCAGTCGCGCTGCGGCTCGCTGTCGAAGCGCGACTGTCTGTTGTTGCGGAAGTTTGCGCCGCCGCGTGCGGTCGTCGCGCCCCCACGGCCGCTATTCTGGAATCTACTCCCGCCGTTTTGGGGACTCGAATCGCCCTGGAACGCATTGGGGTTGCGCTTTTTGCCCAGTTCCTGCAGCTTATTGAACGCGTCAGCCAGGGAAGGATCGTTGAATCTATTCGGCGTCGCGTCGTTGGAGTTAGAAGCGGATCCATTGGGCATCATCATGTTCATGTTCATCATGCTTTGCTGCTGCATCTGCTGCTGCGCCGCGTGCATCGCGGTGATGACGGGCGCGGGCGGGGCCACCGGCGGCTCCACGATTTGTACCTCTGGAACTTTCTCCTGCGATTGCTCGTTGCGTGGCGAACGACGCTCGTTGCGGCGATCGCGCGAGCGCCTCGTAGGCGTGCGGTCTCGTGAGCGACTGCGGTCCTTGCGGTCTCTTTTGCGATCGCGGCGGTCCCTACTGCGACTGCGATCTCGGCTGCGGTCGCGGCGGCGTCGATCTCTAGACCGCGAGCGGTCGCGGCGATCTCTTTTGCGTTCTTTCCTACTATCTTTATCGCGGGACCTGGACCGCGATCGCGTTCGTCGCCTATCCTTTTCCCTGCTGCGTTTTCTTTCGAGTTTCTCATCTTCTTTATCCTCGTCGCCATTGGGGACAGCGGTAGGGCTGGCGAGGGGGGCGGGGGGTTCTATAACAGCAGGTTGTGGGATCTCGTGGGGGTTGCCTATGCCGGGGATGCCGAAGCTTGAGAGATTGTTGCCGAGCGCAGTTGAGAAGGGGGTGATAGTGGGGGGTAAGACAGGGGTGGGGACAGGGGTTGGAGTTGGGACAGGGGCGGGGGCGGGAGGGGCTAGGGACAGGATGGGCACGCTCTGTCGCGCCGCCTCGATGACCTTGTGCATCTCGGAGCGAGAACTAAGGAGCAGCTTGACCTGGATCTCCTTGATCTTGCCGCCGTCCAGCATCATGCCTTGGCGCGCGTCTTCGTCCGTGCTGCAACAAAGGAAATGGGACTTTTAGATAAAGCCTTTTTTTAAGCATGTTGAGAATGAGATATTGACTTCGTATTTACCAAATAAATTAGTGTACCAAGTAGGTAAGACTGTGTTTATACCCATATTCGCGCTATAGTCATGACGTGCTATTTATAAAAAACCATTTCACATTACCTACATTACCCTAAAATTACTTACCTAATGTCCTAATAATAAGTAGACGTTCTTTCAGACTCTTTCTTCTTCGGCTCTTTCTACGTAAATATTTTAAACGGATAAGCTAGATATAATTTTATTTACGTTAACATTAAAAGCTCTTTTAGACGTTTTCCAGCAACATTCTTTAGTTCGTTATCTTAGTTAGATTAATAAGTATGTTCATAATAAATAAACCTCATATTATGTAGCGAGAGTGAGGTGACTACTACACGAGTATTAGACACGTACAACTAATTCAAAAATCGTACTTCTTACCTAAAATTCCTTCAGCACAGACAGTAGTTTTTGCGATAAAACCTACTTTCCTAATTTCTTTAGCCATCATGAAACCTGGACTCTCACTATAGGTGATAGGTTTAATTAAAAGCTCAATACTCAGGCAACAAACGATTGCATGCGCCGCAATGCCATAAAGGTGGTGGTACACTTGCTAGTAACTTGCACGTGCCACTAACTATGCTATACTGGCATGTTTTTATCTGGCAAACGAGTAGATCGAATCTGATTCTTTCTAGTAGGAAACAAGGATGCATATTGCATGCAAGAATACACTTGCGGTGCTATGAACCTGAACGACAGGATTTTTCGGCAAATTGAAATGCTCTAAAGTCCTGACCTAAGGGACTTTAATTCGTTTATCCTTGCCCTCCCTGGCCTTACGGACTTGGTCTACAGTCTGTTCTGTAATAAGATACTTACTAAAGACCTAAAGGTGTGACACAGTGGCGCTTTATGTGGTTGAAATAAGCTGATGATAGAGATAGAAATAAAATATGAACTGTTAGCATATCCAATTTTGGATCTGGAACAACCCAGGGGCCTCTGTGCAGTGTTCTAGAGCCCCCAACTAATCTTTAAAAAAATCTGTTAATTTTGTAAATTAATTGTCGTATTTATAAGACGTATTATTCATGATCTTATCGTCGCTTGCCTCTCTAACTGACTGACATTTTTTTCGAAACTAAGTTATCTACACCATCCTAATCAATTTCGCAAGACGAATCGATCTGTCTAATCGCCTGAAAATTTTGCTAAATGTCAGTTACGTCAGTTAGAGAGGCAAGCGACGTTATTTATGTGCTATGGATGCAGCAGTGGGATAAAGACGGCCCTGTCAACCTTTTAGACAGTAAGTAAGGCCCGGTTTCCACCAAGGCGGAGCGGAGCAGAAATGTTTTTTGAATAACCAATCAGATTCCATTATTTGCACATCTCCACTCTGCTCCGCTTCGGTGGAAATGTATCGAGCGGAGAAGTGTAAGGCGCACTTGTTTTTCTATAGAATTTGACAGCGGCGGCGGTGTGGAGATGTGCGGTGTATCATAGATGATAGATAGCAATAGGTGTTAGAGTAGGCGCACACCGTTGATTTTTAGTTGGCCGATAGTTGTGCCCGATTTTAACTGCCCGACTAAACTATTGGCCGACGAAAAATCAACGGTGTGCGCCTACTCTTAGTAATTGTTGGTGATCAAAAAAATAAATAGACTGACAGCTGAAAGCTACGCATCTCGTCTCCGTACCTACCGCTCTGCTCCGCTTTGGTGAAAATAGCCTGTCTGTAAGGTAAGCTAAGTAAGCGGTAGCAGCCGCAGTAAATTACTAAGTAAATGTTGCAGTATCAACCAACATCGATCTTCTTCTTATTGTGTCGACAACAAACCTACACAGTGTCAGCCCAAAACTACGGTTCCGCGTAGTGCCAAACTGCCGAATGACAAAATTGACGGTTAAATTACCTAATTGCAATGATTTTTTTTTAAATTTGTGTTGACCGGCTATTCTAGTTCGATAAAGTCCTAATATCACTGCGACCGGTACCGATATATTGTGATCGCCGCTATTTTCCTTACAGTTTGCCTCCGAGTCCTGCATCCATTAGGAAGTGCAGTAGGTATCTTTTGGGGGCGATATGTTTTACATCTTGTGGGCTTAGGATTTGTTTGCCCAGGTCTAAGCTCCGCTTGCGCATCAAAGGTTCGCAGTCCGTGAGAATGTGTAGTGGCGTTTCATCTGCTCTTGGCACATCCTGCACGTTCTTGTTTCGGGACAGTCCCATAGTGAACAAGTGCTTGTTTAAGCTGCAGTGTCCAGTGAGGGCTCGAACTAAGATGCGCGTTTTTACCCTATTTAGTCCTATGAATTGATTAATTAATGACCAATTAAGTATCTCAAGGCATTAAGTTCTGATGTTCTTTCGTCGTCCAGTTGAAAATTTTTAGCGCAATCCCTGGCCGGATGGTTGCAGGTTCGTTTCCCGCCCAGAGATGAGTGACAACCACGAGCTATGACAACCACGAGCTATATATCCTATCAATATTGTCATAGACATTTTGTGCATCTATTGAATTAAGTTTTAGAATATGTTATCTAATCTTTCTCAAGCTCTACTTATGTAGGGCTAAGTAAAAAAGATTTGGTTCCAACGAGACACAATTTCAACGGGACACATTTTCAATCAGACACATTCCCACGTGGACACATCAATTAATAGTTATGCGTTTATCAATCATTTCCGGTTTTTTATTGTTTTGATCAATGACACGTAATTTCTTTCAATTATTTTTCATATTGACCTGCCATTCATTTATACCCTACCTTTACGGCTGTTTAACCCATTTAATCTAATCATCGAACTCATCAATATTGTAATGAGGGATCCATTCGAAACAGTTTTTCCCCAGTATCCCGCTAGGTGGCGCATTGTCGATTCACCATTGTTAGCCATTATTTTTTTTATTTTCGAACTTCTTTCTCTACCTGTTCAGCGAAAACCTGGCACATCAAGCTATGTTTTCGGTTCTAACTAAAATTATTTTTGACATTTAGCCGCCTATTAGGTAAAGGCTGGCAGAATTGATTGATTCACTTACGATAAGAGGCATTCTAGGCCCAGTTTTTTTATTCATAGTTAAAAGAACTAATTNTCCTCATTGTTAAATTTTGCTACTAATGGTTAAATATTAACAAAATGTAAACTAACAAAACTGGGCCTAAGGAGTTATGTTATGAACCTATTCGCAGCTCTCGTCTCGTCCCTATTGCTTCAATCAAATCCTCTGAAGTGGATATGATCAGGAAAGGATGATGAAAATTGATTTTTTTTAATTAACTATCCGACCGGAAAGTTTTCCTTTTGTACCCTTTGCACCACCGGCATGCACCACTGGTGCTAAGCCATTTAGGTAAAATAAGGTAGTTTGATAAGGAACTTGAAGTAGGTCTAAGTATTATGTAGTATATCCATAAAACTTAGTGAAAAGCGGACAACAGAAAAATAAGTGAAAATAATCAAGGTACCTACGATCTACCTAAAGTATGATCATGCTTGGTCTGATCCTCAGATCATTCTATGATCTGAGGTCTGATCACATTCCGAATTTCGCATTCGCACTCACTGTCAACAGAAACACTTGTACTCCTTGTACCTTAGGTACTACCAACCAGCTACCTAATACCTACTTATTTTCTTTGTGCCAGCCAATTAGTTTAGTCTTGTTTTTTAAGGGTGCGTGTATTTATCGATGGGTGCTGTGCGCGATGATGTGGGCGTTCATGCCAAAAACCGTAATATCTCAGCTCAGCTATAGTAGGTAGATAGTGTAGCAACGCACTTATGTTCGTTTTGAGCAACCTCGCCTCGTCAGTTTTCCGAATGCCTCAATAAAAAAACGTACCTACCTAATCGAAAAGAGAAACTGAAATTGAATAAAATCCAATGTCGTATCGCCTCTAGCCCAGATACATCACAACGCGATAACACGAATATTCGCGCTATAGCGGTGTGTAGCCATTAGCCAAGTATTCGCGTAGGTAGGGTAATTGCGCCGGTTTTCCGTCCAGCTCCTGTTTTCGTCCATTTGACCGACTTGCCACAAACAAATACGAAAAATTAGAATACAAACCTAACTTTCCGTGCAAATTTGGACTTGTTACAATCTATAATATCTAAGTAACAGTTCTGCCTGCATGAAAATGTAATTTGANAACTAGCGCACTTACCCTACATACTTCGGTGCTTTTATGCATAGTCGCAAGGACTTCGCTCCGCTGTCGCCTGTGTGTGACTCAGGGGTTAGTAAACAAACTAAATGTTTTTAACATTGAAGCGTTTCTACGCATATCTGCACAATAGCCCCAAAGGCTGGAAGTAGACAATGGTTTGAAATGAGCCATGCTTTGTAATTCACCACCGTAGACCACCATCACTCGACGATCGTCGGTCACATAATCGTGCATTGATGGCTCATTTCAATGCTGCCTGGCGAAAATTTGCGTTGGACGTGGATTTGTGCATCAGGCACCGGTTTCCACCAAATCGGAGAGGAGAGGAGACAAAGAAAGAAAGAAAGAAAGAAAGAAAGAAAGAAAAGAGGAGACGTACTGCGGAACTGGCAGACTATTTTCACTAACGCAGAATACATATTATGTAGAAATAAAGAAATCTGATTGGTTATTAAATAGTTTTCCGGGAGATAGGTATTTTACTTTACCGGGAATCCGAAAGACGTCCAAAAAGTCAGGAGAATCGCTCTCCAAATTCCGACCAGATTCCGGCAACTCTGCCTAGGCCGCTAGCTCGATCACCACTGACCAGAGATGTGGAAATATTTAACGAAATCAGTTATTCCCATCTCTGTCTGCTCTCCTCTCCGCTATCGTGGTCAGCGGTCGGTGACGAACTCAGCAATGGGTCACTGTGTAAACACCACAAGCTACGCTGGTCGCTGTACCACAATAGGCTAGTTTCCTAAAAAATTTTTTTTAGTCCGTCATGTTTATTATTGAAAAATATTGGACACGTACCTATCCCAACTAATATTATAAATGCGAAAGTAACTCTGTCTGTCTGTCTGTTACGCTTTCCCGCTTAAACCTCGCAACCGATTTTGATGAAATTTGGCATAGAGATAGTTTGAGTCCCGGGAAAGAACATAGGATAGTTTTTATCCCGGTTTTTGAAACAGGGACGCGCGCGATAAAGTTTTTCTGTGACAGACAAAAATCCACGCGGGCGAAGCCGCGGGCGGAAAGCTAGTATTTTTATATGTCAATCAAACAAATAATTACAAAGTTATGGTGCGTTGAAGTTCCGCGCGATGTCACAAAGTGCTGCACTTTTAAGCACTCATTGACGTCACGGGCCTCTTCTTTTAAGCTTTGGCGCGCTTTAACTCTTTAAATTTTCATTAGTTTGAAAAAGTGAAAAATACGTATAGGTAGAGCATTTTTTTATAAGTTAACTGACGGACTAATTATAACTCTTGCTTTTATACCCAGGAAACATCCCTATTCCTTTGAAGAGTGCCAAAAATACGAACATCCTAATGAGGGTTTTTATACTTAACAGTTGGCACCCCTGGCGATTGACAGGACCTTACTCTACAGTGGCGCCATCTTGATGAGTGCAAATACGATAGTCCTCCTACCACTTTCGCGCTCACCAGTTGGTGCCACTGTCTTCGCTACTAGCAAGTGACAGGACCTTACTCTACAGTGGCGCTAACTGGTGAGCGCTAAAACGATAGCCCTCATTGCGTGCCAACATTGCCTACCAAAAACACCGACATGTCATTTTGTCCGCCATCATAACCTACCATTACCCTCTGGCTGCAGAGGCGGACTAAGCCCGTCAGAGGCCCGGGGGCGACATAGCTACATGAGACCTCCCAGCTTTAAAAACATTGGCGTATTTAGGGTTTGCGATTCGTTGACAGACCTTTGAAGTTTGTTAACCTATAGTTAAGCCTTTGCTTTAACGTGCCGAGGGAATAAAGTTCAAAATAATTATGGTGGGAAATATATTCCCACTGCCGTATAATAGTAAAGGGTTAAAGTTAGATGGTGCAACCCAGCGTAACACAGATATTTCAAAACCGTAGTTGTCATCATCAGTCTGACACACCCGAGGATTGCCGCAGCAATTAAAGACAAGACCTTGTGTTTCAGCAGATAAGTACTTTACATAAGTAGGTATGTACTTCTACGATTCAGTGTCGATAGACCAACAAAATGTGCGTGCAAGATTGCTAAATAATAGGAAAAACGTATTTTGGCACCTGTGCTGTGTCCTCTTCGTTCTATAGGATTCTGAATCCTCCTTCATGCTACCTGGTTAATAGGCAACCTAATCTACCACTCCACGAGCGCGTGTAAATTAACGGTAGGTAAGTGCATATTTAAGTCTAAGGTCCTACTACCTGTATCTCTGTCTAGTTATGAAAGCGGAACCATTAACAAATGTGGTTTTGGACATTTGAAGATGAAACCAACAACAAAAAGTTTCCAGTGGGAACGATGCGAGTGGCACAACTGGGAACAACCGCTTTTGTACCGCTCCTTGCAATCCCATAGCGCCGTTCAAGAGATGAGACCCGCCATCGCATGCAGATCCAGATAAATAATCTTCAAGAAAACTTCGAACTGGTGGAAAGGCACTTCAGTACGGCTAGCACGAAAAACTTTCGAGTTCGAATCGTTTGCTTATTCGAATCGCCATCAAAAGATTTAGTACGAAAACTGCAACAGCGCCCTTGTGAACGTGTCGTAAAGTGAACTTAGTATGAGAAATGGTTGCACGAAACTTATTTTGAGAATCAAAACTGTCACGTTATCGTTTAATTCGAAGATTGAGTATCGAATTTTGTCGAATACGCAAACGATTCGAAGACGAAAGTTTTTCATGCTAGAGGTATAGAACCAGGTATCTTCCCTCAAGAACAACATGGTGATACTGGCTAATGAGGAGGACGCGGCTGATATAAATGAAGATATTCCAATCATATTTTTTACCCTTAGGGTTAAATGTCCGGCCAAATGAAGCACCGAGTTCGGTTTTTGTACCTGGCAACCCTACTTGTACTACACCACGACTCATACCTGTAGCGCAGCCATTATTTTTGCAGCAATCCGGTAAAATAAATAAATCTGCTTACGATGCCAGTAGAATAAATGACAAAAATATTTATTTGGATTGAAAACTACCACGCACTGGAAATTCAGTTGTTCGCGGTTCCCTCAGTTGCCGAGCAGTCGCTTGAATTTCAGTTTCATGGGCTTGTAAATGTTTAAGTTGCCTTAAATAGCAGCAGATATTAGTGGAAGAATAATCCTCCCAAAACCCAAGAATAATGGTTTTTTTTTATCCACAACGTGGAAGCTCTTGGCCTTGGCCACCTGATGGTAAGTGACGATCAGGCCGAAGGTGGAAGCGAGCTACACCCGGAATCCTCAGTTCGGAGTTCCCAGTCGTCCCCGCGGACATAGCTTCCAAAGGCAAGTAGGATCAAGACTCTCTGGAGGCAGCTAGGAATTAATTTTACAAAAAAACTTTTACCAATTGGATTAACGAAATGAAAGCCGTATGGAAATTCGTTTGGTATTTTTGAATTCGCATTCAGATAGAATAGACAGACGATATATTGTTCAATTATTTGTAGCGATGTATGTATAGTAATTTTATCATAACGTTTTTCACAGGCGGGGAAATAAGTACCTAATTATTGTTTTTCCCACTTGCCCCCACTGGAGGTGACACTAGTGAGGGGGCAGTTGCCACAGGTGGCGCCTGGGAATTCCAATTCCCATTTACCTCCGTAGGCAGTCGTTACAGGGGTGACAGAAATAACATATTATTTCATCAGCAGTAATTTGAGAAGTTACGGAAAAAAAAGGAATTAGAAATAAAGGATTTTTGTAAAATAAAATCCTGACGGATATCATCAGACCTACAAAGTTTTAGTATTTATACGCTTGAATTTCTAGTTGAAGTTCTATCTAGGCCTCAGTTACGTTACGATGAAAACTATCGTAACGTAACTGAGGCCTATAAATGTTAAAAGATATTATTTTAACCGACTTAATTTTTTTATGTTTGTTACCGCAGAACTCCGTCAATTACGGACCGGAAGATGTATGCAGGCCCCATATTCACTCGATGGACCGCCGATCTGTTGAAAGTCGCGGGAAGAGCCTGGATGCGAGCAGCGTCGGATGGTTGTAGAAACCCTTGATTACTTTTTTTTCGAGTAATAGACGTCAAAGCGAACGAACGAAATTTACATTTTAGCCCAACCGAACACCAATCTAAAAAGCCTCTAAAAGCCCTCTAAAGTGACACGCTAAAGTATCATTGCCATACGTTCACAAACGATAGACTATGTTTTGTAATGTAACATAAGTCATTAATGGATATGGGACCTCAGGAGTTAGAGTGCCTTTCTTATCGGCCAGACATGAAAAGGAATTTCTCCAGACACTGTGGCATTATTGCAATTGAAGGACAAATATGTGGGTGTACAAATGTAGTAAGTAACATAACAAGATTTCAGGGTGTGGTTTATTATAGCAGAGCAGATGTCATTGAGATTATGATTAAGGAAACTACTGACTAGATACTGAAATTGGCTACCACAAGCTTCAGTGACGTAAAGGAAAAGGACCATTTAGTAGAGGCCAGATACCTCAAACTTTTTGTCTCGTACGTCAAATGATACTTAAAACATTTCTCCAAGGCCAGAACTTACCAAGAGTTGGCGGAATTGTACCACCAACACATTACTTTCTAGATCTTTAGAAATAATCGTATGGCCGTCAGTGGATGCAATGCCAGATATCCTTACCTTTTTAAATGATGAGTATAATCACTCTTGAAGAAATTCTTCCTAAAACGTGCGCAGTAGTTCTGTGCGTTCATATATTAGTCAAGACAAATTACTTTAAAGCTCGAAACTATTTTTTAACATAGCTTTGCTACCTATTATATATTTCTTGCTTTACCTTGCGTCAGGATTTACAAATTACTTAGCTACCCATTATGGGATATTATGTGTTGATGGAGGCATTTGCAGTCAGCGTGAATCACAAAGATTTTAAAATATGTATGTTTAAAGCTATATTTAAGGGCTGAAGGAGCCAAATTAATCGTTCTTTGAATTTTAAAGGCTTTATTACTATATTAATGTTCTTAACTATTATTACTAATGTAGGTATTATGTATTATTTGTTTTTAGCTTCCCGCCTCTTTTTTGTTCACCAAAAAAGCAGTATGTTTTTTTGACTGAAAATGTGTGGACAACTGATATTAAAATTTTTTCATTCAATAATGGATTTAATTAGAAAATCACCAGAATTTTTTTGCATATGAATTTCCCAGTTGCCCCCATCGCTGCATCTGCGTCACCTCCACTGGGGACCACTGGGAATTTTTAACTAAAATTAAAAAGTTTTAAAAATATTTGAATAAAAGGTATCTTTTGTAGACTCGTTAGCTTTTTGAGAAACTCTAGTGGTCTAAATGTAATACTCCAATTATGTATCTTTAATAGACAAATAAATAAAAAATACATTGAACTCAATATTACCAAAGAATAAGAATATATTTCACCGTAAGGTAAGTACCTAATCAAAACTTGCACCGAAACCGAATGGTCGTAAGCTTTGTTACTGTAGTTTATGATTATGATAGTAAACAAATAAATTATAGAAACTAGCGAATCGCTAGAACCACAGCTCCACACTATAATGAGCCATGTCGTAAAGAGAGAACTATGAAAATATAAGTGCCATGAACACAAAAAAAACTATTATAAAATAACTCGCACAAGACAGATATCACCGCGGGCAGTTTCTGGCAGGATCAGCATTAAAGATTTCATTTTTACTAGGATTTACCTATTAGTTACAGAAATACCGACTACATGGTAGAATCCGGTTGACAGGAATCAGGAAAGTGGTGGCTTCTTTTAGTCCGCGCTGGCTGTCCGAAGTACTGGAATTTTTATAATACTCCAGAAACTAAATCCTAAACGCAATCGACGATTTTTTTTTAGTTTTCAAGTTTAGAGTGTACTTTCTGGTAGCCCTACCTACACCTAAAATGTGCTCTATATCCTGTACTTTAATATTACCTTCGGTGACCACCTGTACTGTATCAATGTATCAGCAACAGCCGCACGGAAGGAAAGGACCTCCAAAGTTCAAGTTAGAAGTGCCTACATACAGAACGTGAAAAAGACCATAACTTGAGCTCGGTAACTAAGGTCTCTGCAATACTTAGTTGATATTTAATTTTGAGTGACCGCAGGAAGATCTTTGAATTTGATGTAGGATGTATGTGACCTGCTCAAGATCTCTAAATACTCGTAAATAGTTATAAAATAATTATAATTATTATTCATAATACTCTTAGTTCGGTAGTACGTGAATTTTGTTCAACCGCTATCGTAGCCAAAGCATCAGTCAGTTCATGTCTCTGACTGTGCAATAACTATTAACAGTTCCAAGGAAACGAGGATCCTATAGAGCCGTACACTAGTATTTATCAAGCATGTTATTAAGAGAAGTCATACCTATTCCACAAAATGATTTTATTATTTAAGAAAATTCTTTACGGATTAGAACACAATGGTTTGACACGAAATAGCAACGATTGAAATTAAAACATTGAAGTCTAGCCAGGAGTCAGCGATGAAAGTTTGTTTTTAATTTCCGTGATAATTCTTTATCCTTTATACATTTTTCATTAAGTCTATAGTTTGATTTCCCTGAGTGTATTACTGCGTGCGGGTGCGCCGCTTCATTGGCAATCAGCATTCTTGTTCACTCACACACATACTCGCGATATCACAAGCTGCTACGCAGATTAATCCATTAATTATGTTTTTTATAGCAAAACGAATAACCATACACATAGGTTCAATATTAAAAGCGTGGCAGAATGAACGCAGATGTGTATTAGAAAAAATACGGTCTAACGAAAGATGTATTAGTGCAAGACTGCAAGTAGTCGGGTTATTCCCACTTGCCCCCACTGGGGGAGATTGGGAATTAATTTACAATAATGTCCCAGTCTCCTATTTATGAAAAACGGCATTTGTACAGTGGATTATTAGTCCTGTAAATTATAAAAGAGATACTCATAAACAAAGCAGAATTTTGTCTATCTGAAGGCGACACTCAAAAAGTAACGGATTTCCAGTTTTAAATATTTTCATTTAATTTGTGCAAGTGAGCTGGGATTATACTTATTCCCAGTTGTCCCCACTGCGGGCACACGACACTAGGGGGGTAAATGGGAATAATCAGACATAAGAACCACTCTGCTCGATATTGGCACAAGACTTCAGTATCAACTCTAATAATCAAATCATGAAGTTCACACGGTCAAATTGATAATATATTAAGAATTATTTTTATCTGGTTTTTGTTAAGTACAGCAGAAATACACTATTCTCCTCCTCCACAGCTGACAGTTTCAATTCCTTTAATATAATGTGAAGAAACTGGTGCTACCAAATAGTATTGTTTAGCTAGAATGTAAGTACCTAGACAGAATTACAGAAATTTGTTTAACCTAATAGATTTATTCAGTTAGAAATAGTCAACTGTTATGGATATTCTTTCCCCATTGAAGATTCTAAACAAATCGAATATTGGAGGAGACAACGCTACTTTTTGAGGCTGAGACTCCACTAGTAGAGCCAATGGGAAAATTTCAGTAGCGTTTTCCCCCCCACTGACGGATATAGCAACTTTTATTCCAATATCCACCACTAGGGGACGACGGGAAAAGACGGAATCTTCAATGGGAAAATGTGGAATAATCCGCCATGTAGCATAAAACCAACCATACATATAAAATGGTACCTAACCCAACCGGTACTGTGCAGGTAGTCCTTAGTATGTGCAAGTCGTAACCTACTTCAGAAATATGAATTTGGTCTTATACAACCGTTATTTTTAAAAATGAAGTCTGTGTTAGATTTTTAGTGCTATTCCTCTTGTAAATGATCTAATAGGTAACTTCAGAAATGCAGATTTTAGGTCGATATGGTGAAGGTCGAGAGAAGTACCTGGATGCGGGCAGTGCAGGACCGGTCGTTCTGGAAATCCCTGGGGAAGGCCCGTATCCAGCACAAGACGTCGTTTGGCTGAAACGAACGATCGAATAGATCCTAGACAGTCAGAAAAGTGAAGATCGAGTTATAGTAACGTATAATAATAACACATTTTCCAAGAATGTGAGCAAAAGGCCTTGATTGACGTACTTCATTAATACTAACGACAGTCATTATCGGTGAAGAGCCTCGTGTAGTATTGGTTCATAAATTAAGGTCCTGGAAAGAGGAACTTTTATGGCAACGATTAGAGCATTGCTTAATTAGCATCGATGACAGGCGACGGTGATGAAAGCCGCATCCTAAGAAGGAAAGTAGTTTCATTCCTAATTTTTTTTCATATTCGTTATGAAGAAAAAGAAATTTACATCAGCGAAGAAGTCAGCGTAGTCAGCTTCACCGGTCCGTCCCACCATCTAAATGATTACATTCCGCTTATCTTCTACAATATTTTTTAGAGGAATTAAAATCTCTGTTCCAGTCATTTTAGATTTTTTTGATCCGTGTGACTTCAATAATCTCGAATTATTAGAGTTTTCACTTTATATTCTCGTATAAAGTTGTTTCCTGTTACATCAAAATAAGTCCAAGTCAATCAATAAATCGAATTTTATACAGCCACGACGTGAATATTAACGCTACCTAACATGAGACCTAGAAAAGACTAAGGATATTACATCACCTTAATTATTAGAAGTGACCGCAGAAACTTCTGATCACCGATTTCCTGCAGTAACAAGCAACAAGAATGGAGAAACTTAAATACGAAACAACACGAATGATATTCTAAAATCGAACGACCGTATCGTATGTGTACGTATACCATGTGTACCAAAGAAGACATAAGCGCTATGAACACTAGCATACACTAGAGAGAGCGCAACACGCGTCATAACTTTTTCGTAGGTAGCAACGGGTGGTATAGGATAAATCTATAGCTATAACCTAGACCTTTGTTCATTACTCACGAGTCCCGGTACGCGCTGGTGTTGAAAGGCCTGAGCCACACGGTCCGGAGCCTCAGTGATCTAGGTTCGCTGCATGTAAATAGAGGAATCCGTCTATCGAGCGAGCTTTAGCGTAGTTTGATTTTTTTCGCACAAAAGTTAAGTGCTCTTTCTGGCTGGTTGGTGATGTAGGAGTCTCCCAGTTAACGGCCAGCACGACGCCACGCCAGCAAGTAGCACTTTCACCTAAATCAGTATCAGCACTCCTTATTACGAACTACGATACTTAGAAGCGAAGAAATGAGGCGAATCTGCTGATTATGCGGCACGGGCGTGCGGGACTAATAAAGGCGATTTTCGAAGTTTTCACTGCGCTGGGCATTCGGTCGCAGTTATATCCAAAACAGCATAAGAAGAATCCGAAGTTAGAGCAGAACAGCTGCATACGTAGATTTCCAAATCTATTACCGTTGTGATCACCATGTTCGATTGACACGTCTCGACCGGAGGTCATTCATATCAGATATTAATTCGTAGTTAGCTGATAAATAAATATCGGCTCTGTTAAAGCCTAAGATTATGAAAGCAAAGGTCTCCATCAAGACATCTCTACATAACGGGTAAGTTATCGAAAGCGTTGTCTACAAGCAGAGTGGTGTCGACGATTGCTGGGCTGATAAAGATTTGATAGATCAGATTTTTTCGGAAGGCGAGTAGCAAGTTTGGTCGATACTTCAAAGTTCAGGCTTAAGAAGTCTAAGAACAAATGCTTATTCGACAATTAATATGGCTATCTATTTTTCCCTTTCGGAATAGAACAGTCCCTATTTTATCAAACCTTAAGGAACATTTAAGCCAGTATTACAAATCTTAAACACGATAGAATAGATTGTTACGAACGAGAGTAATCTCACGTGAGAATCCAAAACTTCCTATTAACTTTGGAGTTAGTCTTATAGGTTTTTCCATTTTAATTTTTTAAGCGCCACAGATCCGAGATTTTTTATAAATGTTAGATAGAGTTAAGATACGCCACAATGTAGGTACTGAAAAGAGACTGGTTCGGCAGGAGACGGAACGAAAGTGGTTGGTAGCATCCTTCAGGTCATCATTATCATACATACTATACCTATCATCTCACCAAATATCAGCATCATATCATACAATCATATTTGAAGTCAAATACATAAATACAAATAAAATACAATACATAATCTAAATATTGAGTTATTATTTTGAAGTGAAACGTAAATAAATAAATACCTACTTATACTATGAGGTGGTGGTCGAGCTCGACAGTATTCAATTTTTAGCGTATTTCTTCTCCTTGACTTAATACTTTTTTTTTGTATTGACGCCAAGGCCAACTAATATGCAGCAGTTACAAATAATTTTGCGAAAGAGTCCTTACTTAGGAGGCGGTATGTCCTTAAATTTTAGATGGTCAAACTTTGCTTTTATTAGGTAGTCTAAAATACTGTCATACTTATGTTTAAATTAATTGTGTGTGTACAGAGGTATTGCACCGGGATTTAGCGTAGATATGTATCTTGTTTTTTTTTTTGCTATCTTTTGTGTATTTTTACATTGTCTGAATGTAGCAGGTAGATGCTATTTGATGCAGTTGATTGTATAAATATTTTATGCTAAGGAACCACACGGCGATTCTTTTTTTATATATTTGCCATACATTTACAGATACGTGACGAAAGTAGGTACATGAGATTATGGCTTATTCCCACTATCCACCGGAGGACATTGGGAAAAAAGTTGCAATATCCGCCAGTGGGGGACTATGCTACTAAAATCTTCCCATCGGCCCCCAATGGTGGACACTGGGAAAATTAAGTTTCTTTATCCCTCAGTGGTGGATATCGAAAATAAAAAATTAGGCCAACATGCTTTCTAGTTATTACAAAGAAACCGCGATAACTATCCAGAAAATAAATATTTTTAGGGAATTCTCAAGTTGGTCCCTTAATTTTCAGAGCATTAAACCATAAATTTGAAATCTGTCTGTAAAAATTAAGAAAGCTTTCAGTTTCTTCCATTGCAACAAAGTAGGTAAATGGTAAATTATTTGGAAGATTATTAGGTAGGTACTTATATGAGCCAGTAATAAATGTTATCCATAACAGATCATAAATTAAGGTGTCATGTCATGAATGTCTTAAAGAATTCAATACTATCTAGTTACAAAACTAGTTTAAAACGCCTTGACTGTCACGAAATTTTGTATGTACCTACATATATTTAGGTCTGAGAATGGGTGTAAACTATTTTTCAGACCGCTAGATGTAAAGCAATGTTGTCTGCGTCAGTTGTTTTCATAAAAATAAAAATCCGAGACAATGAACAGCCCACCGCACTAAATACGGTCTTGGGCTTCGCAATACAAAACCTAATAAAATAAGCCAGTACAAATAAAAATATAGTCTTAGCATACAGTAGAAGAATGTTTTGTTAAATACTTACCAATATTACTCCACACCCTGGATCGCTCCTGTGTGACGGTACCTATCAGGGTTTTAGAGACTACTAACCAGTTCAGATGATCATTGTCCACATGCTACAATGAAGAACTATGTTCCATTGTCGTTTCTTAGGTATTTACACAGAGGAGTATCTATTTTATGGAATTTAACCATTCTTCAGGGTCAGTTTGTAACTAGTCTTCAGTTACAGATGATCAAAATCATTTTCAACAGAATAATTGACAATACATTACAAGTTAATACATACATAAAAGTACTTTGGATTAGATACCAAAGTAGTTCTAGGCACGAATTAGTAATGTATTGTAAACTTTTCATCATTGTGATGACACTTTGTTAGCTTATCATTTCTTTCTTTTTATAGGAGTTGTGTTTCTTTGGGTATAAACACAGTCTGTGATTTGGTCCATTTATTGAAAAATACTAGTAAAAAATAAATTCTTAATTCTACTTAAACTATAATCAAACGTGAGATCAAGTAACTGTGATATTTCCCAAGAAATGTGTTCTTGAGAAATATTCACAGCGCCACGAGTATTTGTGATGAGTATATCTACCTGAACGCAATGAACGCATCTCCGAGCTCGCCTCCTACGATGTGCACACCCCCCTCTGGTATCGAGAGGCCCCGAAAGAAATTCCTAATATCCAGGGCATTCGCAGACCACGGGAGGTTCTGTAGTCTTATGATGACACTCATGGTGAATCTTGTCCGTTACCTACGAACAAGGGAAAGGTGCGTCTATTTGTTTGTTGGTTATAATGTCTCACAGGTTAAATACAATCTTTACACAAGTTTGTCACTACAAAATAAAAGTTAAACTGATAGTAATAGTCATTAAAAGTGCTTTGATTGATCATTACAAATTGGTGTAATTACTTTATTAGGGTAAATGAAAGTCATTAATAGATGAGTCATGGGACAGTTCTTTTTCTTACATATAATTTATTTTAGAAAGGACTATCATAATTTTGAAGCAAGTACATAACTAAAAAGAGTACATTTTGGATCTCTTACTACATTTCATTGACATGTAGGTATTTGGTTAGTGTTTTTAATAGCAATGTAGGTATGTATGGGCGGTCGCACATACGCTGACAGTTAGTGTGGCATTTTTATAGCAGTTGCAATAGGAGTTATTTTGCAACAACAATGACTAGTCTGATGTGTTGTCGACTATACATAGTCTGGGACATAAAATATTATTGCTACTAACAGCTATGTGGTGCTGTTATCGCAATATTATACAAAACCTAACGGCGTGTTAAGAAAGTATTCACGAAAAATTACACGCAACAAACTGAATGTTAGTCGATGGTTACCAAATAACATTGGAGTAGTTTTAGGTTTGTTTTACGTGTAAAAATCACGTAAGTAACTAGGTAGAGTTAGAAGAGGTGGCCTTACAGTTACTACGTCACATCACATAAATACCACGCTCACATTCAACTTCCGAAAGTGAAGACCTATGAAACTAATTCAACTTGACGAGTACCCAGGATGTAATTTGTACATAAAAATCCCATTACAGTACATCAAAAGCTATATTGGTAACGCGTGAAACACTACGTGATGCAGTAAATTACGCCCCTGATTTTTTACACATAACTTACCTACAATACCAAAAAACGCCGGCCTGGATCGCAAGTTTACCAAAACAAAAACATTTTAAATCACAATTAGATCACAATCGAGAGTTTAACCACCTAAAGTACGTAGAAATATCAATATAAAATCAAAATTCATACAAGAAGCACCCAGCCGTGACAAAGTGAAACGGAAGCATTAAAATAAAATGGCGGACGGCGCGGAATGCGCATACAACCGGCAATGTTACCATAAAAAAATTGAAATACCCTTAAAGGAGATTTTGTTTATTGAAGTGTTAACGCACAGGATATTTGTGTTCTGTGCGCACAGGTTCATGGCATTTAAAAATAAATAAACGATTTTATTTCATAAATATTTAATTTTCGTCTTATATCGTCGTCAACTGTTGTGGGTGGACTTTTCTCGCCTTCTTCAGCCGGGTTTGCGCTGGAGACCCGACCTGTGCTGTTGGTGGTTACCTTGGTGCATTCATGCAGAGGACCGCCCAATAATAAAGCCATCGTGATCAGGGCCCCGATTGCGCTAAAAATTTTCAACTACAATGCGATTGGGCTAAGAACGAAATTCAGCTTTTTTACCAATCCGTATCGCGGTAACATTTTGGCAGATAGTTCAAACAAAGCTGAAACGTTAACGGAGCGCAATTGTGTCTTTACACAAAAGCTGACAGAAAGCTACTTTATCTTAAATGCAAGTGAAACGCTTAATGAACATTTGCTGAGTTTTAGTAATTTTAGTTTCAAAAATAAGGTTTTCGGAATTTTAATGGCAAGTGCATAAATCTGTTATTTCCTTGAACGTCGTTGCGTGAACTTTACCCCTACCAAATTGCACATCAGCTGTATTATAATGAAAATGGAGTGCGAAACGCGCGCGACTTGGGATGACGCGATTGAATTGGAGACATTACAAATTAGCGCAATCGGGGCCCAGCCCGGGCCAAAAGAGCAGTAGTATGTCCTATGACTGTGCTACTGTTGTCCTTCACATTTTGGTGTATATCCGCCGTACCCTCCTGGTGCCCCCCACTTTGCCCTGTACCTACTACCAACTACTTACACAAGGCGCTCTACTCTATGAAATCTATATTACGTCTTACATAGGTACATCAGTTTCTTTGGACATGACTCAAGAGTCATGTCCAAAGAAACTGATGTACCTACTACATTATCTTTATAATATAAAAGCATAAAAAACTTAAATGAATTTTCAATTACCCTACATACTACTTAAAATAAAAAAGTACTATTTTTATGGGTAATTTTTTTAAAGAGGCAACACAAATTAAAAGAAAAAAAAAAGAAAAACAATTTCACGCATACGACGTTTAAATGTTTTTTTTCGGTACATAGGTAATATTAATTTTGTTTTAATCAAATTTTTTTTTGTACTAAATTCTAATTTGTACAATGTAACTAATATTGTTACATTTAATTGGGAAAAGTCAGTGCTATTTTTTAAGCTTTCCTTTATTTGCCTGCGTGGGAAGTGGGCGTGGGAATGTGGGCTTAACATTAGAATGAAAGTATTAAACGTTTCTTAAAAAAATAAGCGATGTTGGGAATTTTAATTCTACTCGGATTATAGTCAAAGAAAACTTAATAGTGTGAGAAATTAGTAGAATTTTCAATCTGTGTTTTTAATTCTAGGGTAATTTTACCAAAGAAATGCCAAGTCAACTTTTTTTTTAGGGAAATGGGTAAACGATGAACGATGGGATGGGAAATTTTGGGAATTCAAAATGTCATGTTGATTGTTGAATTTTATGTCTAAACGTTTTGCAAACGTAAATGTGTTATATTATTTTATATAAATGCATCATTGTACTGATAATATAGTTGAACAATAACGTAAGTATACGCACACTCAGTTCCATGCTATTCGAAACATATTTTTGGCGAAGACAACACACGCATGCACGCTAACAAGAACTAGAATCTAGTTATTTATTTATTTTAGTAGTGTAAAATATCGCAAATTGTATGTATTTTTAAGTAGTTGTGTTATTTGGAGACCTATGTACAAATAATCCACGTATGTAGCTCGTAGAGCTATTGAAGTGCTTTGTATGGATTCCCAAATGTCAAAATGTTACAAAAAATTTTACAAACTATTAATTGTAGCTCCTAAGTTTTGCGTTGCAAGACTGCAGACATAGGATATGTTTTTGTATGTTTTCCCTTTCGTCAAGCACGACATTTATGCAAAATTTGATTTGATATTGCACATATAAAATGTAAATATTACCATTATATTTTACTCTTTATTTTCAGGTAAATCGTCAATGTATAAATATAACATGAAGTTATAGAAGTTGCTCAATATTAGCGTAGAGAATTGCGTTGGTCGGGAAGAGGTGTGATGTGCGACCGATACCCGGGGTACTTGTTCGGTGGGACTCCTGTCAGTAGCTGGGACAGGAGTTTCAATTCTTTGGAAAATGTAAGTACATACCAAATAATTTTGTTATTTTAAAAAATTGTGTTAATTTGACAATCTATACTAATATTATAAAGAGGAAAGATTTGTACCTATTTTTGTATGTTTGTAATGAATAGGCTCAAAAACCACTGAACGGATTTTGATGAAACTTTACAGTATTATTGTTCATAATCCAGAATAACATATTTATGACGATCTGTGACAAACGAAATTTCACGCGTGTGAAGCCGCGGGCGGAAAGCTAGTATAATATGAAGAGAGAAAAATGAATAACATGATACATGAATTTTATACCATTATGACATTAATAATCACAACATTCTATGACATTGATAATGGCTTCCACCTTTGGTCTAATCATAACTTTCCATTTAGAAGGGCAAGAGCTTTCTCATTGTAGAAAAAAAAAATAGATAAAATTAGGTTTAAATGTCTAATCAATGCTGTTTATGAAATACATTTTTTATGTAGTAAAGCTTTTATTGTGCCTCAATATTCTTGAAAACTTACCACTTTATCACTATTTTAAAAAAGTTTGTAAAAGCAATTTTTTGATTCTGCTTAACAATGTCACATAGTTATGAACATTCACTCATAATGTTATTTATGATTTATGATCCTTCTTTCCTTTGCTTTAATTTGTTTTAACCAACTTAAAAAAAGAAGAAGAAGTTTTATATTCGTCTGTACCTGCCTAGATATCTCTGTAGGTTTCAAAGCTGAACCACATTGTAATTGGTCCAATTTGTGCAAAAAATGGGCCATATAGATTATACTGTGGATCTAGTTGGCCGTTCATATAACAAATCAGTTTTTTGTTGTTTGTTTCATTGAGCACTCGGTGTTTTTTCAATTATTTAATTTAGTTGAATAGTGTCCATTTTATCTTGTTCAAAGTTATTCTTTATTTATACCTGTGTGTGGAGTATTGTTATTATTGTAAGTTTTTGTTTATTTTTAATATTTAATTTCTAAATAAATAACTTAGTTCTTCTGATACAGCCTCCAATTTAGCAATGATGAATATGTTTGTAAAAAAAGGTAGCAGGTATGCGCTGGATGCAGGCCGCCACCAACTGACTATTGTGGAAATCATTGGGGGAGGCCTATGTTTAGCAATGGATATCCTGTGGCTGAAATGATGATGATGAATATGTTTGTTACAGAGAAAAGTGTAATTTCATAGATTTTCGTCACTTTTTATTTTATCATCATACTAGGATTCGCTGGGTCAGCCGGTTTCTAAGTAATATCACTAAACAATCCAGTCTGGTTCAAGTGACCAAAAGAGGTCAATGACCTTGCCCAAGAAAGAACTGGAGCAATCCCATTGACCTCTTTCACCCCATGCCATGGCCACCTTGTTTACTAGGAAAATCTACTTGACATATTGATCCTTAATTTCGTCTATATTTTTGTACCGTATCTCAAGTTACATAATTAACCCTTAATCAGACAATTTTACCTAAACGCTTAGATTAATAAAAAAGCCTAAAAGTAACTACATTATTTTGAACTTTATTGCTAAAAAATGTCAATTTTATGTATGACTTCAATTAAAAACAAAATAAATGTGGCGTGCATTCAAGCCCTTTTATTCCCTTTGGAAAGATCTGTTAACTACCGCCTATAGGCCGCCATGTATACCGCTTACTAACTTTTTCCCCCTGTTTCGCCATAGGCGAGTTTCTGGCTTATCACAGAAAGATAATATCCAAAAACGACATAAAATCTATCCTGTTTTTCTCTGGTTCTCAAACTATCTCGTGCCAGTCTAAATTGATTCAGTCTTTTAATAAATAGTTAACAGACACAGTGTGTATTTTGTCTGTCACAGAAAAACTACATAGCGCGCGTCCTTGTTTCAATAACCGGGATAAAAACTATCCTATGTCCTTTCCCGGGACTTAACTATCTCTATGCCAAATTTCATGAAAATCGGTTCAGTGGTTTAGACGTGAAAGCGAGACAGACAGTTATTTTGGCATTTATAATATTAGTATAGAAGTATAGACTGTTTAGGTCTTCTTTTCTTACTGCCATTTCTAAATATGCCTTCATTTTTTATTCATTATTTGTTTAGTCTACAGGTCACATACGTATAATTTATCTAATGCCTGAATTACCTAATTAATTAGGGCATTATTTTGACTAGTTCGGATGGGTTTACCCCAAATATTCCATTATTAATGAAGGCAGTGAGCGTGCAAGGGGCAAGTTCCATTTACATTGGAAGACTGCCAGGGCTCTTGTGGCTACCAATGCAAGGCGTAGGCGCACCATAATTGCAGAAAATTCGGGAATAAATTGTCATCTTATTCCCCATCCTGATAATTCACTCATTGAATAACAAATAAGGTTAATGTTTATGTTATATGTATTTTTCTTTGTTTTTGTTCTAAAGATATGGTTAAAAATATCGTGGGAACTATATTCCCGCTTCTTTATAAAGGGTTAAATCAGTTGCGTGTCATCTACACACATTGTCAGTAACGCTCCCCGCTCCCCCAAACGCACAGACGAGTAATTCGCGCCTTCGAGTTCTAGCACTAAAATACACTTTTTCTTCTTAATCCTTTTGCTCTTGGCAGAGAGGTCGTGGTCACGTTGCTCTTCACACGATCTCCCGCCATCTTTCCCTACCTGGTGCAGTCAGATACGCAAAATAGACTGTCGACTCCCAAAATTCTGGGTGAATGAAGGTTGACCTCATACAAGTTATTACTTGAGAACCATTTTTATAATAATCGCCAGGCAACAAACTGTCGCATTTATTTATCTTATTACAGTAGGATTTCACACGAGCGAAGCCGCGAGAAGTTCACGAGGATAATCTCATTTTACCATATTTGGGGCTTCTTGTTACGTCATTCACTATTAAAAAAAATCTGACACAATTTTACCACATTCCCTATTTTGACACATTTATTTTTATTGTGGTAAAATGTAGTAGGTATACACAATATTCATGTCAAATACAGTTATAATCTCTCTCGTTCAGCTCGTTCGTTTCAGCCAAATGACGTCCACTGCTGGACAAAGTCCTCCTCCAAGGATAGGGTTTCCAAAACGACCGGTTCGGCGCCGACCGCATTCAGGCACCTCTCGCGATAAAACCATATTTTTTGACTTAGTTACGATTTTTGTCCGGAATATGTCCGTAATAAATGGAACGTGTGGTTTCCCCGCATTTAAACGCACCCATTTGTGTCACCGATTTTTTGTCACATACTAGTTTTTACCCGCTGAGCTGTGATCCAGTTTTATGCCCTTTTGCTTTGCCATAACCCTTACATCTTCTGTAGGTCATGGAGATTGAATTTTTGGGCAAAAGGCCCAAAGTCGCTCCCTGTGGCATTCTGTGGGAGAAAGTTTTTGTCCATCAGTGAGCTATTCTAAAGGGGATATCTTTGCCCACATCTTGTAACAAAATATAGAGTCCGTCTAGCTCTAGTAGGTCAGGAACCGTAAAACTGGCATATTACATTTTCTTTTTCAGATCTAACCTGCTCTACAATTCTTCATATTTTAAGTCATAACTGGACTACCAGTACTAATATGATAAAGCACTGACGCTTGCAATATTCTCGAAATACTAGACCCACAGGCTTTGCCATAATTATAATATCATAAAAAAAATATCTTCGTATAATGTGGCTTCGCACGGGTGTAATGTTTTATACCTCTTGAATCACTTATCTATTGCTGAAAACTGCATTAATATCCGTTGCGTAGTTTCAAACATCTTGTGTGTGACTTTGTTTTATACTATTAAGATTTATTCAGATCTAGGGACAGTTCTTCTTACTTTCTGTCGTGTGAACTGCCGATGGAGATCGCAACCCTGTCTTGCAGAATAGCTCAGGAATATTCCGAATCTCATAATTTGCGTGCCATCAACGCTCGTCGATATCCGTGGTATGTTTTATATTGCATTCATTTAAGGTCAGCGATGCTCAATCTTGTCTTCAAAAACATCCTTCTTTACTCAGAAAAACTTGCGTTCTTAATGCCCAGTTGAGAGCATACGTCTTTCCCAAGACATGATCCGACTTAGTCATCCTCAGACATGTTGGATTTTATGCTCATCATTTGGGATATCTTTACCTGGTATCTTTTTCATCCAGGAAATCTATCATGCTGGAGCATCTTTTTTTATTACTCCCTTTTTCCGTAAAGGAAATGCATTAGGCATACTGGTGTTGTGGGGATGATAGCAGAGCAGGTTATGTGGAACTTATGCCCGTATTCACAAACATTACTATGAGGTCTCACAGTGCGTGTGGACGCACAGGTTCACGCACGAACCAATCACAGCTCTATTCAACGCTGTGCGTTCGATTTGCTGCTTCACTTAAGCAAGCATCGTTTGTGAATACCGGCGTTAAAGATTGTATCCCTTAGAAGCATAAGCAGAGATAACGGGAACTTCCTTGACAGATTCTATTTCGAAGAATCGCCGGAGCGAAGCGATTTCGGAATTAAATTAACTCATTTGTTCCTTTGTCTAAAGGGGCAATTGCCTACATGCATGACGACTGAGATCGATGGTCAATGGTCACTGAAGACTAATATTTATTCTAAGCAAATAGTGGAAACATCTGAACTCGGGAAGGTTTCTCTCGCATGTAAAGCCTCTTTTAAATTCAGTGCCCCATTTTAATTTGTTGTCCCATCAGTCGTCGGACCTAGCATTGCCTGCCAAATAGTTTATCGAGTATTGTACGTGACTTTAGGCTTAATGGTACACTGGATAGACTTTCAGTAGGGTTAATGTGAAGGTACTTACTGAGCATCATAATGAGTAGTAAAGGTATATTTACATGATCACAGGTTATACGCGAGTCGACTCCAAGTCGACAGCCCCGCGCACGTCATCAAGACTGCTTTCTTTAAAAAACACTTCATTTCAGCCTTAAAGCAGAGTTGGTTTTTAATAGGCTGTAATATTCGGTTGCGGTATTTCCGGACCGATACGATCAAAAAACTTTCAAGCAGAGATCGTACTTAATGGCCAGCAACGCACCTATAACTCCCCCGGGGCGGCGGTAAACACTTACCATCAGGTGATCCACTTGCTCATTTGCCTTCTATCCCATAAAATTAAAGCAATGGATTTTTGGCAGCCTCGGAATAATTGAATTGTCAGTCAGAATAACCGACCTGATGACGATGGCGACGGCTTACTGCTCTTTTAGCTTGCTCACTAAACTATCAGAAGTGGAATTGTGTAAAGCTTTACACAATAGGCTAGTTGCCTAAAAAAATTTTTTTAGTCCGTAATGTTTAATATCAAAAAATATTGGACACGTATATTTTTATTTGTCAATCTAACAAATAATTACATAGTTATGGTGCGTTGAAGTTGCGCACGACGTCACAACGTGCGGCATTTTTAAGCAAGCGTTGACGTCACGGGCCTCTTCTTATGAACTTTGGGGCGCTTTACCGATTTAGCTGAAAATTGTCAGGGAGGTAGTTTAGAGCCAGGAGAAGGACATAGGATACTTTTTATCCCGTTCGAAATAAAAAAAGTCTGCTTATTTATTGCCATTAAGGCGGAACAAAGTTCGCCGGGTCAGCTAGTGAGTAATAAAGGTATATTCACATGATCACGGGGTATACGCGAGTCATGTGACAGTGCTACGATTCTGACTTGGTCTCCAATACTAAGGCTTCTTTATAAAACACTTCATTTTATCGCCTTGCCTTGAAAGCAGAGTTAGTTTTTAATAGGCTGTAAAATTGGAGCTTTGGCAGCTTTGGAATAATTGCAATTGACACGATCACGGCGCGATCATAGGAAAATGACAGGTCGCGTGAACTGTCATGAGTCGCGCAACCTGTCATTGGCCTTTGATTGCGCCGGCGATGGCGATCTGCACGCGTTGAAGCTTTATTTACTACTACTTTAGCTTGCAAGCTGTATCAGATCGGCTACAATTTAAAATGGGTTCAATTATGTATATGTAAACCTACTGCGTCTCTGTGTGCTGTAACAATGGTGAACGCGTCTTATAGGTCAGGGTTGCCGCTCCAGTTTTTGGCTGATTGCTAAGTTTATGCCATAGCTTCATGTTCAAGCGCTGCGATGCGGGATACAGTTACAGTTCCGCAGTTTGTGTTTACGCATCCCAGTTAATGTCGCTTTTGTTTGTCTCTACTGCATTTGGGTTCAAATTCGCTTGGACTTTTGACAGTGACGTATCGGAGGGCGATTCTTGTGATTGTTTATTGTGGATAAAGTTCTGTGATAGATTTGTGAATTACGCGATTTTCTTCTGATGTCATAATCGAAGTGTTGTATTACATAGGTTACAAAGATACGTCTGTAGGGATAGGATCGCAGAAGATANAAGATATTATGAATATGTGTCGGATATCGCACGTTTGTTGTCCGTGGTCTTACTGGTCGCAGGTTACGGCGTCAAATGTAGGTATTATTTTATTGAGACTCTTTATTGCTCCATTTTATTGTAGTTTTGGAACTTCAACGTTTCATTAGGTAGTTACAAACGATCGGTTTTGCAACCGTAAATTTTACTCACCTATCAGCACTATGTATTTGTCGCTATCAACATGACTATTTGTGTACTGTTTAAAATGCAATGGATGTTACAATTTTTGGCGGCTGTAAGCTTCCGGCTTCGCTCGAATCAATTTCGACCAGTAACACTTTATTTCTGTCTCTACCTCCTAAGTTTTATATCCCTCCCCCTATTTGATCCGTTTAATTTTCGTGACTGTCGTTCTTCAATGTCTAATTTCTATATCGGATTTCAAAATCGGTTCAGTCACATTGTCGTGAAAATAGACAGGCCGTCAGTCGACAATAGTTTTTGTATTTATAATATTAGGTACTTTTGTTTTCGTTGCCTGGTGCTGTCTTTACCAAATAGGTACTATAATCCGAGCCTTTTCAAGGCGAGAGTGAACAAGCACTTACAGGGCAGATGTATACCATCCTAGACAGCATCGGAAAACGCGGCGTGGGACGTCCACCCACAAGGTGCACCGACGACCTGATAAAGGTAGCAGGAATGCAGGCCGCTATTAACCGTACGATGTGGCCGATGTGGAAGTCATTGGGGGAGGCCTATGTTCAACAGTGGACGTCTTGTGGCTGAAATGATGATGATGATGAGACAGCATCTCACTTAGCATCAGGCGAACAAATACTTGCCTTGTTCTGTATAAAAATACCATGTATTTGCGGACCTTTGTATCTTCTTCTTCTTTTCGTGTCGACAACAAACCTACACAGTGTCAGCCCAAAACTCCGCCACAAGAGTGGCGTTGTCAGTAGCACTCATCAAATCCTCCTGAGTGCAGTTGCTTGGGCACTCAGGGCATGACATCAGGTGCTTCATCGAATGGGGAACAAAACCGCACCTGCACTCCATGTTCAATAATGAAATCTTGTTCCAGCAAATACAACAGCAGTACAGAGGTCGCGTCGGCCCCCACTCTCGTTACTGGGGCAGCATGTCGGAGGGGGGAGGTATATCCGCGGCCGGAGGGGACTCTTGCAAGACGAACCTCATCGTCAACTACCTCCCACAGTCCATGACTGAGAAGGACTTGTACGCCATGTTCATGACCATCGGGCCGATTGAGAGCTGCAGAGTTATGAAGGACTTTAAGGTAAGATTAGGGAGAAGGAAGAAGGTTCATCATAATCAGGTCATTTAGGATTCTTTCCAATTTACCTTCCACAGTCCATGACTGAGAAGGACTTGTACGCCATGTTCATGACCATCGGGCCGATTGAGAGCTGCAGAGTTATGAAGGACTTTAAGGTAAGATTCGTTCGTTCGTTTCAGCCAAATGACGTCCACTGCTGGACAAAGGCCTCCTCCAAGGTTTTCCACAATGCACGGTCCTGCGCTGCCCGCATCCAGGCTCTTCCCGCGACCTTTACCAGATCGTCGGTCCACCTAGTAGGATGCCTGCCCACGCTACGTCTTCCAGCCCGTGGTCGCCACTCGAGAACTTTTCTGCCCCAACGGCCATCGTCTTCAAGGTAAGATTAGGGAGAAGGAAGATGGTTCATCATCATCAGGTCATTTAGGATCCTCTCCAATTTACCTCCCACAGTCCATGACTGAGAACAGGGCTACGGTCCTGCGTGGTACCCCGATCTAGTCAGCTCGGAGGCGAACTTCGCGCGGCTGCGAGGTTTCGCGCACGCGTGGCATCGGAGGCGGAACGGACAGACGCCTAGCGGCCAGGCACCGGATGGTGCCAACGTGTCAGTAGAGTCCATGCCCCAGAAGGGGGAGAGTGGCAAGGGACAAATGGACAAAGATTAAAGAACTTGTAGAGAGTCAAGAATTGCGCGCGGTGGAGTGCAATCTGCCGTAGGCGGCCGCAATTCCGCGCGCATCTCTCAAGATTCGGCCACAATAACCGCGAGGTTGGTATGGCCATGGGTGGTGGTGGGATTAGTCCATGACTGAGAAAGACCAGGGTGGCTACTCCGAAACGCTGTTTACGTATTCTCGCGTCTATAAATGTCACCGTTGCTTATGCTGGCATCTCGCTTTGTGTGAGAGGGATGGCCACATTAGAAACTTCGGATAACGTTTTTCGGAGTAGCCCTGCTGTATGCTATGTTCACAACCATCAGACCTATAGAGAGTTGCAGAATTATGAAAGACTTAAAGGTAATCATCATCAGGTCAGTGTCCACTGCAGGAACACGACTCATATTTACCAAAGGCAAATAGAGGATTTGGCTTATACTCTCTCTCCACCCTGGCTAAATTGGTTGGGGAGGCCTGATTTCAGCATATTTCTCCTTTAATTCCCTCTTTCGACACGGGAACAGTGGGGGTGGATCTATTCTTCTCTGTCGGATCCACACGGCTTTAAGCTCACCTCTCGTTGCCACCACTACAATTCTTCATAGCCAGGATATACAGCTTTCTCACCAATGAAAGCTAAATAGTCCCGAAGGATAGCTGACTGTCTTCGAACCTGCAAATTATTTGTTAATAAACCTGTTTTAATGTTGATACTTTTGTGTCCATTTCCAGACTGGCTACAGTTATGGCTTCGGCTTCGTCAACTTCACTCGGGAGGAGGACGCGGCGCGGGCCATCGACACATTCAACGGGTACCAGCTCAGGAATAAAAGGTTAAAGGTATGTCTGACGTCTATTAAAAGATTTTTAGGTATTTCACAGCAAATCTGACGAGAGAGAGAGAAAAATGGAGAGAGAGAGATAGAAAGAGAGGGATAGAGAGATAGATAGAGGGAGAGAGATAGATAGATAGAGGGGGAGAGAGAGAGAGAGATAGATAGAGGGAGAGAGAGAGATAGAAAGAGGGAGAGAGAGAGAGAGAGAGAGAAAGAAAATTGCACCTATTACAAAAACATAAAATGCCACAGTATTAAGCTTGAAGTGGTGTGTATATTTAAAATATTGTTATGATTGTAACAACCTAACAAACTGAGGTCCCTATCTTGATATTAGACTTTATGTCGGTATATACATTTTGAATTGATATGGCTGCATCAAACTGACGACTTATCTTACTACGGCTATGTGGTCGTCAAGATGTCAAAAAAGAAAATATTTATAAAGTTCAAATTCAAATCAGCATTTCAATCATCCAAAAGAGCATAAAATTATTTTTTCTCACACATTTTTATATTCGGTGTATTTCCTCTTCAGGTATCATACGCCCGGCCGTCTGGTGACGACATAAAGGAGACGAACCTCTACGTCACGAATCTCCCGCGCGCCATTACCGAGGACCAGCTCGAGACGATATTCGGCAAATATGGCCGCATCGTGCAGAAACACATTTTGAGGGACAAGAGCAATGGCGCGCCGAGAGGGGTCGCTTTTGTCAGGTGGGTACACTATATTTGTTGTAGAATATATTCGGCAAGTGCGGCCGCATCGTGCAGAAACATATCTTGAGGGAGGGATAAGACGACTCGCGCCGAGAGGGGTCGCTTTTGTCAGGTATATACGGTCGTCATCTATATTCGACATTAAACTATATTCGCTGTTGACTATATTCGGCAAGTACTGCCGCATTGGACAAGGGCAACGGTACGCCGTTTTTGTCAGCAGGTATTTACGTTTGTAAGCTATGTTCAAGTTTAAGCTAAACGTCACAAAGTTCCAGTAAGAGACTATATTCGGCATGTATGGCCTCCTTGTTAAACATTTTTGTATCTGACATTTCAGCCGATAAAATAAAGTAAAAACATAGTCTAAGTATTAAAAAAATATGTTTTTGTTTATTCATCATCATCATCATCTCAGCCATAGGACGTCCACTGTTGAACATAGGCCTCCCCCAATGCTTTCCATGTTACCCGGTTGGTAGCGGCCTGCGTCCAGCGCTTTGCTGCTACCTTTATGATGTCGTCGGTCCACCTTGTAGGTGGACGTCCAACGCTGCGTTTTCCGGTACGCGGCCTCCACTCCAGAACCTTGCTGCCCCATCGGCCGTCAGTTCTGCGTACTATGTGCCCTGCCCATTGCCACTTCAGCTTGCTAATCCGTCGGGCTATATTTCGTTTAGTTCGTTTACGGATGTTTTGTTTAATAAAAAGCTATAATTTTCCATCTTCAGATTCGACAAGCGGGAGGAGGCGCAAGAGGCGATAGCGGCGCTCAATAACGTGATACCAGACGGCGGCACCGAGCCGCTTAGTGTCAAGGTCAGTGGCGCCATCTGTTCTAGACATAGTGACAGTCGTGACAGTTGTCATTTCAATATCGCTTCACGGAGCGAAGTATTTCTTCTTCTTCTTTTTTTGGGTGGCAATGACTTGGGATTTGGAAACCACGATTTCGCCATGATGTCACTTGTTTCATAATCGCTTTACAGAGCGAAGTTAGTTATAAAAAAACGGCGGAGCGAACAACTGTCACGTTTGTAACTTTCTACCCTCCTTCAATGTGTAGTGAAAGCTTTTTGCACTATATTCGAGTCGACAAACTGGAGGAATTATTTTGTTTAGCCAAAACGCAATATTTGCATGACACTGCGGGGCCCATATTCCATACAAATATCATAAAAAGCTTAACTAGAAATATCAGTTTGCCGACTCGAATCACGCAAAAGAAGAACTGTCAAATGAAAGTATTATTCATATGAATTTAAGCTAGTGTTTGGTAGCAGGCAGATAAGGATGATTCTGCCAATAAATTGTACGCTTACTGCACTTTTTGATATGTTATTCTAGCATAAGTATAATAGAAGCTTATGATTATTTGATACGCTCAAATATGTTTTGTACACCACTTACATTTTGTATTGGCAGATAAAGTTAAACTCTGGTGTTGTTGTAAGATGGTATTTTCAATTTTGCAACAAAAATTAATCTATCGACTCCACTTCATATTTCTGATTGGAAAAACTCCTTAATTTGTGGGAGTAGTTTAGTCTGTTATACAGGCTATCCTTAAATTAGCACGTCACACTGACACTGGAGGTAAAGCCCGGTCTCTGAGCACGTAGAACTTTGTCCAATGACTTCAAGCTACCCATCCTTATCGCTCGCGCGTAATTATGTTGCTGTTGCGCTCGCACACTCACTGCGGGCGCCCGTCGCACAGTCGCGACAGCAATATAATTACGCGCGAGCGATAAGGATGGGTAGCTTGGGGTCATTGGACAAAATTCTACGTGCTCGGCCGCTAGGTTATAGCTGAGCCTAAAACGTGTTTAAATTATGTCCCACCTGATTGTCATCAGCAAGACTTATACTGGCCTAAAACTACCTACTACCTAAGCAGTAGTAGGACTATAAAGACAAGAGTTCGTATGAAAGATAAACCAAAAATGTTATATGTCGATATTGCTTCCAGATATTATTTATAATGGCTTTTTAGGCGCATTTTATTTGTTTTTCAGATAGCACTGATTGCTTTAGCGTCTGTATTGGCACCATTGTTTTTTTTGTATGTGTAAGGTTTTGGTAAAAACGCACATCTAAATCAAAACGGCATGAACGTACCCAGTTTCTGTCCTAGGCGGGGGAGTAAGTTAGATTTTTTAAGTCTGATTGTTTAACTTAGCTCCTTCAAAGTTGCAGCTGCCCTCCCCTGGGTACTTTTTTTTTTTTTTTTNTGTCTGGGTATTTTATTCTCCCAAATATTTGTCCAATATTTGTCCAATATTAGTTGTTCATACTTGAACCGTTTTTGCATTCTAAAATTCCAAAGATAAGGATAAAAGTTATCCTTTTTCTCCCCATATCTCAAATTATCCCTTACCAATTTCATCTAAATTGGTTTAGAGATTTGAGCTTAAAAAATGGAACAGAGAGTCAGAGATTCGTTTTTTAAAGATGCAAGATTTTTTTGACTTATTATTGGCTAGTTAGCAACTCAGTAAAAAAGCATGCCAGCACTTAGGCTGAGTTCACCACCTTATTTTAACCGTAACAATAACAATAACCGGTGCTTTTTGTATGGGGTTTGACATATTTTTGACGTTTGTCAAAGTTACAGTTGAACGATTTTGAAACGTCAAATGGCAAAGATCGGAAATAGTAACCGGCATTGATAGCAGCACCCTCCTGTAAATGACATTTTAGTGTTTTCCAACGTGGCAAAAATCGGAACCAGCGATCCGGTATTGACGGTGGCGCCCCCCTGTCAACGTTACGAGTGGGACGGTTCAGTGTAGTTCATCTATAAACGGGACTATTCCCACCTCTCGTTCCCACCGCTACAACTCCTGTGTAGCCAGGATCTACAGCTTGACCGCCATAAAACCCCAACCAATGAAGGTCAAGTTTGTCCCGGGGAAAGTTAAACTGTCATTGGACCCGCAACGAAATTAATCAGAAGAACATAGGAGGAGTTCGAAATTAAGGTTCGACTTCCCTCCATTGCAAAGCGGTAGTTCATCTATAAAGTAAGATGGTGCAACTCAACCTTATTAATGCAATGACGGTTGTCTTCAATACTTTGCGATGGAGAGTCTACGTCGGTGCTTCGCTACGTCACGTCACTGTGTATTGTGTAGTTGTGATTTGTGTTTGTTTCTCACGAAGCATGCTATAGCACTTTGGCTACAAATTGGCACTTTAAAACAAACACCTCTATGTATACAGGTACTGAGAAATTGATCATCGTTACGGTGAATTTTCTATAACTTATTTAGTCCATTGTGAGCGAGAGAAAAAGAAGAAGAATCCAGAATCCATATTTAATTGCGTATTAGTGCAGCATCGGTGCAACTGATGGCGCTGTTTAAAATACCTAAAGATATTTATTTATTAATAAAGCTTGCAAGTCAGGTGCGCGCCGTAAAATAACTTCCAATCACGTTAATAAAATCTCTCTTTATCCTCTTTAATGTACGACATGAGTGGTAGTGTGTGGACTGCAACCTTCATCGGATCTTGCGGCAAATCTGCATCTCTAGCTCACACTAAAAACTGTAGCACATTTATCAACCCGGAAAGGGATCGTAACCGTATCAACTCAAGGCGGTCAGTATTCTTTGTATGAAACTCAATACTTAAACGTACACTTATCCGCACCGTAACGTAAGCGCCTCGCCTAGCGATTGACAGCGCGTGAAAGGCGATGACAGCTCGCAAAAGGCAAATTCAAATTGAAAACGTTTATTGCATGTCACGTTACAATTTATATGTTGTTGCAAAATAGAGGTATACGTAAATAGAGGTAGGCGATACGGTGTTGATCCCTTTTCGAGTTGACATGTCTGCTATGACCTTAAATCGACTAAATAAGTTGTTACTAAACAATTTAGTACCGCCCATAAAGTTAATATTTCTTCGGAATAGAGCAATAACCACGAACTGTCAAACGAAACCGATTTTGGATGACACTGGATATCATTCGTGTTTCAATGTCAGGATTATTTCACTGTTTTGTACAATAAATCTATCCACAATTTCACTCACGCAAAATCTGAAAATATCTCAAGAGTTCAAATTTTCAGCGTGCCGCTAAACGCCTTTAAACTGTCAAATATACTCAACATCAAATAAACCGCACCTTCCGCGACGCGAACTTTAAAGATTTTCTTTTGACACAATCATGGTGCCTCAACAATATTGGTGTTATTTGAAAGCCCAATAAATAAACTTAAAGAAAAACACATTTAATTTTTTTATAAACAATTAACAGGTACCATAAATGTGACTTGAAAAAAGGCCTCACTTGGGGCTCACCTATGGGACCAAGTAGACCAATTTTTGTGGTTATAAAACCAAATAATGATCTTACGTGTCCTTTTTAACAGATGGATAGCAATTAATCCCAACTTAACAGTTTTATAGCCATACAATTTGGCTCAAGCGTAACTACCTATTTTTTGATTAAGTGACTCTGGATCCTTCTAAAAACACATTTTTTGGGTAAAAAACTATCCTTTAATGAAATGAAGCTTAGAACTAAGCTTTCAAATGGAACCAATGTTGGTGGGAAGTGGGGGTGCATACGTTTGATAAGTGCTTGTTGCGGGAGGTGCGATTTATTTGATGCCGAGTGTAGTTGCAAAAAACGGTTCCGTTTGACGTGACGGTAACGGCATCACGCATCTCTATTTATCACAGAGTGTTGTTGCTAGTGACATTTCGCTCGTTCAATTCATTGTTGCTCTATTCCGCAAGGACATATTAACTTGTAGTCTTGTATTCGTCATTAAAACATAGATGTGTTCGTTCAAAAACAAACCCTAATTGGCAGTCTATGGGAACTAAATTTGGTTGTCGTAGCGCGCGAGCGTGGGGGCGGCGGGGCCCCTCGCGCGGCGGGGCACGCACGCGCCGCTGCGCCTGGCGCCGCCCCGGCACCATACCACGGTTCGTTGTTACGGCACTCGCCATGTATGCGTCTTAAGATTCAAGTCGTGATTAAGGCCTCAGCCTCGAACTTAGCGGGCAGCGGGGCGGCGGCGGCGGCGGCGCGGGAGCGGGGCGGGCAACGCAGACCCGTTCTCGAAACCAGCGGGCAGCTCGCGCGGCGCTTTAGCGGCGAAGTGTTGTGTTCGGGGTTGTGTTGTCGAGATATTTGTTTTTATTCTCGAACGAAATGTCTGAACAACGGCGACAATTTTATTTCGATTCAAATTTATTCCTTACGCTCGATTTGTTGTGGGCAAAAGAAGGAGTGCGCTGCCCGCTCGTTGCCCGCTCCCTCGCCGCTGCCCGCTCGTTGCCCGCTCCGGCGCCGCTACCGCGCCGCTGTTTTCGAGAACCGGTCTATTTGATTTTACGCATAAGATCCTGCCGCTCCCGCCCCGCCGCCGCTCCCGCGCCGCTGCCCGCTAAGTTCAAGGCTGAGGCCTAAGAGCGATTTTCGACGTTTCTACTTAGTGGTTTTCATTAAACTAAAGGTTTTAGGGCCGCTGCGCCTGGCGCCGCCCCGGCACCATACCACGGTTCGTTGTTACGTCACTCGCTATGTATGCGTCTTAAAAATTGAAGTCGTGTCAATGTAGATGTGTTATAGAGTGATTTTCGACGTTTCTACTCAGCGGTTTTTATTAAACTAAAGGGATAAGATAAGATAATCAATTATTGTCTTTTCTGTGTAAGTACATTAAAAGGTTTAAGGGCCCTGGCCCATAGCGACTTTTTGTAGCGATGCATTTCGTAAACGAGCGACAGCATCGCTACTAGCGTGCGCTACTAATGAACGATGCCAACGCGCTACAGCTGCGCGACTGTATCGATTCAAACGCGCGACCGTGTCGGACGACATCAGGGAGAGAACGGAGGGAGGGTTACTGAATCGCGTTTGCATCGCCACAAAAGCGGGACAGTTGCATTTGCAACGCGACAGAAGCGCGACAGTATTGCGCTTGCATTGCGACATAAGCGCGTTTATGTGGGCGAGGGCACACAGCTAGCGACCGCATTGCGACTGTATCGATGCGAACGCGCGACAGAATCGCTACTGCATCGCTACAAACAGCGACTAAGAATCCATGTGTGGTCGCTGAAATTTTGGTGGGGGTTCAATACTCAATGCTTTATTACATTTAACAGCATAGGTAAGTCTTACAAAACAGTTACATCACCATGAACCCTTTCGGGCACAACAATAATGAGTATACTAATGTGCAAAACGTGAAGTGCATTTTGACGTGTACGATTTGGGGGCCATGTGCCCTGTGGCCCACTCCTTCGGACCGCGCCTGCCGATCACTGTGTCAGTGTCGGATTGCCAAATAAAATACGCCAGTATTTAACTTGCACCGCCTTCCGTACAGTCAGCGTCAAATAGTTCATTGTACNCTAATCCGGCGGGCTATGTCAGCGACTTTAGTTCGTTTACGGAAGTTTTGTTTATTAAAAAGCTATAATTTTCCATCTTCAGATTCGACAAGCGGGAGGAGGCGCAAGAGGCGATAGCGGCGCTAAACAACGTGATACCAGACGGCGGCACCGAGCCGCTTAGTGTCAAGGTCAGTGGCACCTCTGTCCTAGACAAAGTGACAGTCGTGACAGTTGTCATTTCAATATCGCTTCACGGAGCAAAGTATAGCTTCTTCTTTTTTTTTGGGTGGCAATGACTTGGGATTTGAAAACCACGATTTCGCCATGATGTCACGTGTGTGACAGTTTGTTTTATAATCGCTTCACGGAGCCAAATAACTTCATACAGAATACGCTGGACTACAACTGTCACTTTGAAACTTTGTCTAGCTTTTTAGACTTCTGTGTAGTGACGGCTTTTTGCACTATATTCGAGTCGTTAAACTGATGCTTGATCTATTGACAGTAATTTAATTTTTTTAAAAAATCACATAAATGTGATCAAAGTGCGTGTGAAATGCGATATTTTCATGAGACTGCGGGGGCCTATTTTCCATACAAATATAAAAAGTTTCACTTAAATCGGTTTGCCGACTCGAATCACGCAAATAAAAGAAGAACTGTCAAATTAAAGTAAAATTAATATGAATATAAGCTAGTGTTTGGTAGCAGGCAGATAAGGATGATTCTGCCAATAAATTGTACGCTTACTGCACTTTTTGATATGTTATTCTAGCTTAAGTATAATAGAAGCTTAAGATTAATTTTATACGCTCAAATATAATTATATTGATGCAGTTGTAAATAGATGGTATTTTGCAACAAAAATGAATAACCTGTCTTATTAGATACTACCGACACAGTAGATAAATCAAACAGTACGGAAGCTTCATACAAACGCTCGAAATCAGACTCACGCACACAGACGCACGCTTTACACGAGCTCTAAGCGAACCTCGCAGTCCATCCGTCGCGGGTGTCGCGCGCGTTGTGTTTTTTAATAATAATTTTATTGCATGCGCTGTCCGCTGTATTTTTAAAAACATGCCACGAGTGTATTGCGTAGTATATACGGCTGCCTGAACTCAGCATCTTCAAAACCAGAACTTTCATTTTTTAAACTTCGTAATAATTCTGAATTGTAAAAATGATTAAATATTACATCCTTTTTAAATAAAGTGCTTACATCTGATTTTGTAATAGTTCTTTTTAAATTACGTAATAATTAGTTACGCTTTTTAACAATTTATGTGTTCTATTTGATAAAGTAATTTGGTTTGGTCCTAAGTGATGAACTGTATTTAAAATGAGGCAATAGGTACTATGTGAAAGTAAGTATCCGGTATTTTATTTATGAGAATAGATCTTCGACCGGCCTCTAATAGTGCCTACTTAATCAATTTATTCGATTATGTTTTCGATCATTATAGAACCTAATTAACGTTTTAATATATAAGTAAGTAAGAACCTTATTAATTTTATAAAGATTAAGAGTGCCAACCCTAACACTCAGTTGAAGTGTAGGTATTTAACTCGCCGAAAGGGCTAAGTTTCCGTACTGCTTTAGCTCATATATATACTGTGCTACCGACTCTATTTCATATTATTATATTCTGTTAACTGAGTCGGATGATCTATCTTTATCTATAAAAGCGAAAGATCACTGATTCACTCACTCATCACGGAATCAAAGAAACTACAAGTGTTAGGAGTCTCAAATTTTGCATGGGGGTTCCAAAATTCAACCCCTAAAGGGGGTAAAACGGGATCCACGCGTGTCGCGGGCGGCCGCTAGGAATTTGTGGTTAAGTTAGGTTAATTTCTGGGCCAATCAGCATGACTGGTGTTAATACTGGCCTAAAATGACCCTATAAGAGCGGATTAGACCAAACAAGAGTAAATATTAATCTCAGAATAAATTTGTTATTTTGACATATTTCCCATACTGAAACTGTCAATGTGCCAGTTATACCGGGAGTTATTCTCGGATAAAAGTTTGGTCGAATCGGGCTGAAGCTGTATTGGGACTATAAAGGTAGAGAATGAAAGATAAACTAATAAACTAAAAATGATATGTCGATATTGCTTTCAGGCTTGTTCAGATATAAATGGCTTTTTAGGCCCATTTCATTTGTTTTTCAGATATCACTGATTGCTTAGTGTTGGCACCGTTGTTTTTTTTGTATTTGTATGCTTTTGGTAAAAACGCACATCTAAATTAAAATGGTATAATTGCGTTATGTGATTTTGTCTTCAAAATAAATTGTCTGTGGTCCATTAGTTGTCGTACTTGGGCTGTTTTTGCATTCTGAAACCGACATCGCAAATTCCAAAGACAGGGATAAAAGTTATCCTGTTTCTCCCCATATTTCAAATTATCTTTTACCAATTTCATCGCAATCGGTTCAGAAGTTTGAGCTTCATAAGTGCTACCAGTGGTGAAAATTGAATCAATTATTTATTTGGATTAGACAGCCAGAAATAGTTACATTCGCATTCGCATTTTTAAAGATGCAAGATTTTTTATACTTATTATTTATTTTATTATTGGCTAGTTGGCAACTCAGTAAAAAAGCATGCTCGCACTTAGGCTGACTTGCACCACCTTATTTTAACCGTAACAATAATAATAACCGGTGTTTTTGTATGGAGTTTGACATATTTTTGACGTTTGTCAAAGTTACAGTTGAACGATTTTGAAACGTCAAATGGCAAAGATCGGAAATAGTAACCGGCATTGATAGCAGCGCCCTCCTGTAAATGATATTTTAGTGTTTTCCAACGTGGCAAATAAACAATAGTGTCTAGACAAACCTTAAGAGGATTTAGGACGCTATTTGGATCAAATATGTAATTGCTCAATAATGAATAATAAATAAAAAAATAAAAAATATCGGAACCAGCGATCCGGTATTGACGGTGGCGCTCCTGCCAATGTTACGGTTGGGACGGTTTAGTGTAGTTCATCTATAAACGGGACTATTCCCACCTCTCGTTCCCACCGCTACAACTCCTGTGTAGCCAGGATCTACAGCATGACCGCCATAAAACCCCAACCATTGAAGGTCAAGTTTGTCCCGGGGGAAAGTTAAACTGTCATTGGACCCGCAACGAAATTAATCAGAAGAACATAGGAGGAGTTCGAAATTAAGGTTCGACTTCCCTCTATTGCAAAGCGGTAGTTCATCTATAAAGTAAGATGGTGGAACTCAGCCCTAGTAATGCAATGTCGGTTGTCCTCAATACTTTGTGATGGAGAGTCTACGTCGGTGCTTCGCTACGTCACGTCACTGTGTATTGTGTAGTTGTGATTTGTGTTTGGTTCTCACGAAGCATGCTATAGCACTTTGGCTACTAATTGGCACTTTAAAACAAACACACCTATGTATACAGGTACTGAAAAAATTGATCACTGTTACGGTGAATTTTCTAGAACTTATTTAGTCGATTGTGAGTGAGAGAGAGAAAAGAAATGCCTCTTAAACCTTTACCTGGTAGTGGCAGAATTGTTGCCACCATATTTTGAACCTTATTGAGAAAACATAAGGTACAAAACTAATGAAAAATATTTTTCTCTATACCAGTTAAAGGGAACGTGCGAAGGCTATATCTTGTATAATAGCTATTCAGAATTCATATTGCATATTAGCGCAGCGTAGGTGTGCGCCGTAAAATAACTTTAGATCATGTATTCAAATTCATTTATTTCACAGAAATACACACGTCCATTAGATGTTTGTTATACATAATTAATTTCGTTACAGTGTATCTTGCCAGGACTGGCATGTAAAAGTTATAGGAGAAGTAAACAAAATCTTTCTTTATCCTCCTCAATATACGATATGAGTGGTAGTTTATGGACTCTCGGGTCATGCGTTAAATCTCTCGCTGTCACTAAATCGACTACATAAGTTGTTACTAAACAATTTAGTACCATCCAGCCTTGTAGTACCTAAAGTCTAGTCGCCGAGCACGTAGAATTTTGTCCAATGACCCCAAGCTACCTATCCTTATCGCTCGCGCGTAATTATATTGCTGTCGCGACTGTGCGACGGGCGGCAGCAGTGAGTGTGCGAGAGCGACAGATATAAGGATAGGTAGCTTGGGGTCATTGGACAAAATTCTACGTGCTCGGCGACCAGACTATAAACGTCATTTAAAACATAGATGTGTTCGTTCAAAAACAAACCCTAATTGGCAGCCTATGGGAACTAAATTTGGTTGTCGTAGCGAGCGAGCGTGGGGGCGGCGGGGCCCCTCGCGCGGCGGGGCACGCACGCGCCGCTGCGCCTGGCGCCGCCCCGGCACCATACCACGGTTCGTTGTTACGGCACTCGCCATGTATGCGTCTTGTGCAGTGTAAAAGACCGTCGTGGTCCAAAATAGTCGTTTCATTGTGTGAGAAGAGTGATTTTCGACGTTTCTACTCGGTGGCTTTTAATAATGCAATTATATCATAATTAGGTCTAGGAGTGTACAATAGGATCATTTACCGTAAATGTCGTAAGAAGCGACTAAGGGACAAACATGCGAACATAAGGGCTGTAATTTCTGTTGCAAAATAGGGTCTATTTTGTAACCAAGATACCCCAACCACAATAATTAACTTGCACCGCGCTGTTCGTACAAGCTTTGCTTACTGTGGAGTTAGATAGCGCTGTGTAAAATGTCTGAGGATATTTATTTATATAAATCAAGCTTGCAAGTTATTGAATAACTTGTTATTTAATGAAAAATTAGCCATGTAAGCCATGTTTGGTGAAATGTCGAAAATGCCGAGTTTTTTTGCTGACTTGTGACGCATATGTGGCGGTAGCTTTACAAAATTGTGCACTTCGCTATGTTATCGTGTAATTTTTGTTAAAATACCAACTTCTGTGGCTTGAAGAAATTTCGGTGTGTCACTTCTGTGACTGCTGTAACTCCTAGGCTTCATATTTGTTGTCAAATCATTGGTTTCGTTTCTATACAAGCAATCATACCGTATTTCAGCCTTTCTCCTATTCAAGATTTTTTGTGTTGAGAAGTGTATGTATTTATAAAATGTGTAACGGTACATATTGACTCCAATATCAAGTATTTGTCCAATATGTGTCGAAGACTCAGATAGATCCATTGGTTCCGAGACCACAACTAACTCCAACTATGTAATATGTGGCGCAGGCATTAAGTATTTTTTTGTTTGAGGTTTGACCAAAACTGATTGAAATTAATCTAAGACAAAATAAACACCTAATAAAGGTGTGCTGTGACAGCTCTGTTAAGTCACATTTCACCCCCTTCAATACCGTAGTAACATACTCAGTTATAGGTTGTTATATCCACGAAGACGCGCCCCACCATTCTTCCGCTAATGTTTGAGTGTTATCGGTACACGCTAAATTATCCATGAGTGCACACGCACACTACAATAATGACGCTCGGATTGCTCGGATCAAACTCCCCGCACCCCGCGCTTCCCTCGACCAAAAATTGGTGGGGCGCGTTTTCGTGGATGAAACGATCTATAAACGCTATACTTTACGGGACTATCCCCACCTCTCGTTCCCACCGCTGCAAATCCTGTGTTGCCAGGATCTAGTTGATCACCAATAAAAACCCAACCAATGAAGGTCAAGTTTATCCCGGGGAAAACTAAATAACGATATACGTAGTAAATAAATCCTGTCAATGTTAACTGCGCACCTCGCCGGAATGTGACTCTCCCTCGCACTCACCCGCACCAGGCCTGTTCATCTCCGCGAGTTTACATCGAAAACAAAACAAGCACGAAGGCACCCTACAGGATTACTATTCGACAAGGCCACACGTACGAGCGAGCATTGCCTCACGCACGCGTATTCTTGTGTATGATGAAAAAAAATAAAGAAAATGGTGTACTAAATACTGTGCAGTATTTAACTGTCTAAATCAGTGGTTCTTAACCTTTAAGTCATGAGGGACCATTTTACCAAATTTCTGTCTTGTCAGGGACCACCTCATAATCGGTCAAAACCAGTTTGACTGCAAAAATCTGTTAAAAGTGGTTTTGACCAAGGTGTGCAAGTGCACTTCGTGGACCACTTGGAATGCCTCCAGGGACCACCAGTGGTCCGCGCACCACCGGTTAAGAACCACTGGTCTAAATAATAATAAAAACACAGAATGTACTTTTTTAAGTTGCCTGAAGACACTGAGAGGTAAATAAGTGGTTAATATTATTCATGATAATTCATGCATAATCATGTATTTCCTCCGCCATTTTCTATAGTTTGGCACGGTGGCACCTCACGTCACACATCATTTTACCGAAGTCAGCCCTATGGCTTTGGCCGGCTTCGGCGCAGTACCGATCACTGACGTTTGTCAACAAAATGGTGCTTGACTCTTGAGACAAGCTAAATTACACCATATTGTTAATGATATTGAGTATTGAGCATACATTTTTTTAAATACCTTCGCGAAGTAAACCTTCTGTACGTAGTACTTATTATTATTCTGTGCCCGCACACCTCCCCGCGTTCGCCTCGTTCGTACCAGAGCGTCGATGTGACGTCACGACCGCCAGGTGCGCAGTTGACTACCGAGCTGTGCTTCCGAATTGACTTTGACATGTGTCATCACGTTTTCATTGTCTGCGGTTTCCCAGGTGGCGGAGGAGCATGGCAAACAGAAGGCTGCGTACTACGCCGGTTGGGCGGCGGGATTCCACCATAACAGAGGTAAATACATTTACATAAACATTTATCCCTTATTATAAGAAGTTAAACTCGCGTTATCACTAGTTTAAATTCAAATTTTAGTATGGAAATGAAATTTTAAACCAGAATTTATTGTGCCTTTAACTTTTTTGTAATTAGGCACTTATAATTAGTGCGCACTGGTGACTTATGTCAGAGTAAGTTTAGTCACAGTGACTCTTGTCACAGTGAATCTAATAAGTTTGTGCAAGCATGCTATGACGTGACAATAAAAAATTAATCCCCTTAATTAATATGGTGATAATAACAAAAAGGTGCTAATCCAGTTAGACACATCCAAATAAATAAGAAAAGTAAGATAAGTACTTACTTAGTTGTTGGAATTATTATCTAAAGTAGATTAAGTACATCTAGGTTCAATTGATGTCACGTTTATGAAAAATATAAACGTTGATATATTTTTTATACTGTAAATTGTAGACTTGCACTTCCGAGACTCCAGAATCTCCAGATTACATAATAAAATATTGTACAATAAGTTTAAAAAGTTGTTTTGTAAATTATGTCAAATCAGTTCTCCTCCAGTGAAAACTATGATAGTGGTGTGAAATACCCAGTTAATATTGTCGATAATTTTGCAAGTACCGCCAAGGTGGTGAATGTAGGAACAATCTTCCATATTTTGTCTTTGTAAATTAGATAGCATCGTCCTTCTGAAGTGAAGAAACGACGTGATGAAGATAATAATGATAAATGTGGTGTATTAATTTTGCAAGTAGCGCACATATTCGTCGCCTATCCATTTCTCCTGTAAGACCGTATGACGTGATAGTAGTAGTGATGTGACGTACCCAATAAATGTGTCGATAACTTTTCAAGTAGAGCACTAGGTGGTCCTCCATTTCTCTAGTAAATTAGATAGGATCGTATCCTGCAGTGTCGAGCAATTTAGTAGCTAAACGTGTCTGAACACCAAAATGGTTGAGTAGACTACTAAATCATTTAGTTGGTTAAAGCAAGAAGGCGGTTTCGTAAACGGGGCGCTGGACATGTGCCCATAATGCCTAGTAGAAAAGAGGGTCATGGATAGGTGCCTATTGGCGTATCTAGGGTTATTTACTTAACATATCACGGGAGCGTGCCTTGGCGTTAAAGTAGCGCACATGGTGGTCCCCCATTTCTCTCTAGTAAATTAGATCGTCCTCCTGCCCTGTCAAGACTAATGACCTTATGATGATGATGATGATGATGATGATTAACGTGTGGATCCCTTGCAAGTAGCGCCAGCGCCGCCGCCGCCGCGCCAGCACAGCCTCGACCAGCTCGACATGGTGCACCGGCGCGACTTCAGCGCGCACGGGCCCTGGCCCAAACCCAGTAAGGCACAGCTTGATGCGCCTGCGCTGAACCCGACCTTATTACAAACACTTAAGGCACATGCTTTACGCGCCCGCGCTGAATTCAACCTTGTAGGCCAAAGACTTCAAGTGTTAGGCGTCTTCTTGCGTAGGATGCGTACGATAGAGAGGATAGTTCTCCGATCGCTTGACGCGCCTGTGCTAAATCCAACCTTATGCCAAAGAATTATGGCACAGGCTTGTCAAACGTGTGCCAAACTCAACCTTATAGGCCTTGTTCGCGCTGGTCGAGTAATTTAGACGAAAGTCAAGTAATTTAGTCTGGTGTCGAGCAATTTAGTAGCTAAACGTATCTGAACACCAAAACTGTCGAGTAAGTTGCTAAATCAATTATTAGGTTAGAGCAGGAAGGTGGTTTCGTTCACAGAGTTCCGGATATGTGCCCATAATGCCTAGTAGAAAAGAGGGGCCTGGATAGGTGCCCATTGGCGTATCTAGGGTTATTTACTTAACATATCACGGGGAGCGTGCCTTGCCGTTAAAGTAGCGCACATGGTGGTCCCCCATTTCTCTATAGCAAATCAGATCGTCCTCCTGCCCCGTCAAGCTTAATGACCTGATGATGATTTGCAAGTAGGCGAGTGTCCTCAATCCTCCCTATTAGTATATTAAGACAGGAATGTCCGCCTGGAGTAGTAACTGATGATGATGATGATGATGATTAACGTGTGGATCCCTTGCAAGTAGCGCCAGCGCCGCCGCCGCCGCGCCAGCACAGCCTCGACCAGCTCGACATGGTGCACCGGCGCGACTTCAGCGCGCACGGGCCCTGGCCCAAACCCAGTAAGGCACAGCTTGATGCGCCTGCGCTGAACCCGACCTTATTACAAACACTTAAGGCTCATGCGTGACGCGCCCGCGCTGAATTCAACCTTATAGGCCGGCTTAAGTGTTAGGGGTCATACGGCGGGCAAGGCGTCTTCTTGCGTAGGATGCGTACGGTAGAGAGGATAGTTCTCCGATCGCTTGACGCGCCTGTGCTAAATCCAACCTTATGCCAAACAATTATGGCACAGGCTTGTCAAATGTGTGCCAAACTCAACCTTATAGGCCTTTTTCGCGCTGGTCGAGTAATTTAGTCTAATGATGAGTAATTTAGTCAGGTGTCGAGTAACTTAGTCGGGTGTCGAGAAATTTAGTAGCTAAACGTAACTGAACACTAAAACGGTCGAGTAAGTTGCTAAATCAATCAATTAGTCGGTTAGAGTAGGAAGGTGGTTTCGTTCAAAGAGCGCTGGATATGTGCCCATAATGCCTAGTAGAAAAGAGGGGCCTGGATAGGTGCCCATTGGCGTATCTAGGGTTATTTACTTAACATATCACGGGAGCGTGCCTTGCCGTTAAAGTAGCGCACATGGTGGTCCCCCATTTCTCTCTAGTAAATTAGATCGTCCTCCTGCCCTGTCAAGATTAATGACCTGATGATGATGATGATGATGATTAACGTGTGGATCCCTTGCAAGTAGCGCCAGCGCCGCCGCCGCCGCGCCAGCACAGCCTCGACCAGCTCGACATGGTGCACCGGCGCGACTTCAGCGCGCACGGGCCCTGGCCCAAACCCAGTAAGGCACAGCTCGACGCGCCTGCACTGAACCCGACCTTATTACAAACACTTAAGGCACATTCATTACGCGCCCGCGCTGAATTCAACCTTGTAGGCCAAAGACTTCAAGTGTTAGGCGTCTTCTTGCGTAGGATGCGCACGGTAGAGAGGATAGTTCTCCGATCGCTTGATGCGCCTGCGCTAAATACAACCTTATGCCAAACAATTATGGCACAGGCTTGTCAAACGTGTGCCAAACTCAACCTTATAGGCCTCGTTCGCGCTGGTCGAGTAATTTAGACGAGAGTCAAGTAATTTAGTCGGGTGTCGAGTAATTTAGTAGATAAACGTATCTGAAAACCAAAATGGTCGAGTAAGTTGCTAAATCAATCAATTAGTCGGTTAGAGTAGGAAAGCGCTGGATATGTGCCCATAATGCCTAGTAGGAAAGAGGGGCCTGGATAGGTGCCCAAGCCCATTGGCGTATCTAGGGTCATTTTTGGGGGGGCCAGGCCCCTAACATATCACGGGAGCGTGCCTTGCCTTTGAAGTAACGCACATGGTGGTCCCCCATTTCTCTCTTGTAAATCAGATCGTCCTCCTTTCCCCATCAAGACTAATGACCTTATGATGATGATGATGATGATGATGATGATGATGATTAACGTGTGGATCCCTTGCAAGTAGCGCCAGCGCCGCCGCCGCCGCGCCAGCACAGCCTCGACCAGCTCGACATGGTGCACCGGCGCGACTTCAGCGCGCACGGGCCCTGGCCCAAACCCAGTAAGGCACAGCTTGATTGACAGAGCATTGATGTTGTAGGTCTAAGACCAGCTTGACACGCCTGCGCTAAATGTGAACTTATGGGTCTAAGACCTGCTTGACATTGCACGCCTAACCCGTTGTCTTAAGTGAACGACAAACGCGGCAACGCGACGCTACGCGACACGACGATACACGACGCGACACGACGCTACATGACGCTACACGACGCGATATGACGCTGCACGACATTACATGACGCTACACGAAGGTACACGACAATAGACGACGCTGTACGACACAACATGACGCTACACGACACTACATGACGCGACATGATGCGACCCGACATGACGCTACACGACGTTACACGACACTACACGACGCTGCACGACACTGCACCACACGACACGACATGACGCTACACGACGGTACACGTCGATACACGACGCGACATGACAAGCATAGGAGACGTCGCATGAAAAATTTGACGCAATACGTGACATAGCGTCGCGTCTATTTATGTCGCTCAACTAGGACAACGGATTTTTTTCTTTTTTTTCTGGACTGGGATACGCATAATCTATGGTCCAAGGGGACCAATGGGTTATATGGGGCTCCCTGTCAGACCTGTCAGAAGAGGGTGGTCTTTGCTATGTATACGTGATTGGTTTTTGCTTTCTCTTTGCTTGGCTTATTAACTAATAACGCTGGTGGCAATGGGTGGTTTTATGTATATTGTTTCAAATATCGTATGTATAGCACAATCTACATGATCTTGCCCTTTTGGCATTTGAAGCCCTCTGTCGTTTCCTCATTGTGACTTTGTACTTGACTTCTAAAAGCAACCTTATCAGCTGGTAATAAAGCTGCAAAATAATATTTTTGGTAGATCCCTAAGATCAGAGGGCGTTTGACAAAAATCTTGTACCACAGCTCTTTGGATTTTCAATATAAATTGTAAACCTTATGTCTCATTTATGAAGCTGGAAATCAAATCGTTTGTAAGTACGATTAAATACATAATATCTACTAATCTGTTAAACGGTGCGGTGGTATTGGGTTGTGAATGCATGTGAAATAATAGACTAAGATCTAGTGAACGCCAGACCTACGTCATTTTATAAAAGCTGAAAGTTTGTCAGCGTATGATCCCAATATAGGATATAATGTTGGTGAATTATGAAGTTTGGGTCATGGTGGCTTCAAGCATATAGCATATACCATTAAATCCGATTTTTACAAGCTTTATATTGATTATGTATAATATTTGGACAATAATTATAAGTATTTTCCCCAACAGCCAGACAGTTTTGACAGTTCCAACTCCTTGTCAGACAGTTTTTTTAGGGTAGCTCTCAAAGCCACCATGACCCAAACTTCATAATTCACCAACATTATAGCCTATATTGGGAGCATACGCTGACAAACTTTCAGCTTTTATAAAATGACGTAGGTCTGGCGTTCACTAGCTCTTAGTCTATAAGTGTTGTGGTTATGTTGTATATTTGTGTTGTTCGTGTATCGATGTCTTGATTATGCTAACATAAACGCTATATTAAAGTGCTTGCTAATTCATAAACGTGATATCGGTTGGCCTGCTTAATATAAAGATATTTATCATAATATTTTTGCCCTACTAGGGCTTGGAGACAATCATTAGACCAGTGCCGAGAAGAAGTGCCGCTACAAACCCAATTCTTGTCTTCAAGGTTTATATGTCACATTTTAAATTAATATTTAATATTGTAGTCCATTTTTCGACGGTACTTCTATGGGTTAAGTTTTAACCCTTAATCAGACAGTGGCAATATACATAGAATCCAATTTCAAAATCCATTCATTTTCAAAACGTGTACAATGTACAGAAATCTCATTTGACGAACTTGAAAGTATCTTACTGATAAAATCTAAAGCGCAAGTTACTTGATATTTGCTGGGGAAAATATTTATGCTTTTGCTTTGCTTTTGGTGTATGAATTTATAATATTATAAGTGTTATATTTGTTCGATGTGTTCGTGAATCATAATTAAACGTAACAGCAGAAAAAAATCATAAAATATTGTCCGTTATTACTCACTAGTCTGCTTTCGGTGTGTCTTCAAAAGTGGTAAATGTAGTGTATTGTAGTATAGTAAATACTGTATCTTTAACGAAACATGTTTTATAATATGTGATTTATTTTAATTCGTTTTTGTAAGTTTGGTTTGTCGCCTTCTTAAGTCGGACTTTACGGGAATATTCCGGTACTATGGTACAACACTATCGGGGTTATTTACGGTTTGGGGATTGTTACCGGTAAAGGCACATCTCTAGCTCAGAGTGACAAGCCGGTAACTAGCTTATTTTTATGGGGTCTTATTTTCTGTAAAATTAAATCTTCAAAAATGATTGTAGAGATGCTAGTCTATTGTTTATATTTTTTTATTGTAAAACTAAACTTTAAGGCGATCGTACAGACGATAGCACATCAAATTACATAGTACAGCATCTTATTTAATGCTANTACGTCACTTTTTATCAACAAAATTGACAATCTTGATGTGCTCTCGACTACCACTCCAGTATTTAACCCCTAACAAGACACAGCGACGGTATTGTATTATGAAATTTGCGCACGCTGCTAACGGACCAGTCGTCGTGCCGCAACGCC